GCTCAACTCTAACAAGACTTCCATTTTCTGACTTCCTAATGACAAAAAGTCACCAATAACAAGGAGTTAAATAAAAGGGAAACAAGAGCAAATTAAACACTGACAGTGCTTTTAAAGCTGAAGATACAATGACATAAATATTTATTGTGTAAACATAAACATGTGGCAATAGTTTTGTAAACCTAAATGCTGATTGGAGAAAAGATGTGCATCTTTAATTTAGGATTCCACAAAATAATTTTATTCAACTCCACCATTGACTCCATTTCCTCTGATGTTTTATCTCTTTAGGAGTTCTGCTGTGTTGTGGAGTTGCTAATGCTAACAGTTAGCTTCTAAAAGCCAAGACATTCTCTGCTGTTTCCTGGTCACTAAACCAACAACAGCCTTCCCCGTCACGAGTCATGATGGGTGAGTCCATGAATGTGAACTGTCTGTTTTCTATCAGAAGCTAATGAAGCAGATAGGTGTAGAAGACTATTTTCACATTGAGGCCCTGCCCACACGTAGCCGGGGATCTGCCAAACCGTAGATATTTTTCTACGTTTTGGCCTGTCATCCACACAAAAACGGATCTTTTTAAAAACTCCGGCCAAAGTGAAGATCTGCGTTTTCTCCGTTTTGGGTGTCTGCGTGTGGACGGACAAAACCGGAGTTTTAAGGTCCGCAACGTCACTTTCAGCGACAGAAAAATGCTGACATCACGTGTGCGACCTGTGTTTACACTAGCCGACAGCATGGATGCCCTCAGAGCTGCGCTCGCTTTATCAATTGCCAAAGCGCTTTTTGCTTGTTTGTTTTTGCAAGCGGAATTACTGCTCCTTGCGGAAGACCACAGACGAAGGACGAGGTTAAGAACGGGGGAAGTACTGCCGCCTACAGGTCTGGCATGTCCTTAACAACATATTTATCCGGGTACGTGTGGACAGAGTTTTTCTTTAAAACGAGGTGGTGTGGATGCAAGTTTTTGGAGGGGCGGATATTCGTTTTTTTTTTTTTTAAACAGCTACGTGTGGACTAGGCCTTAGCCTGCATGAAAAACTCAGAGTGACTTATCATTTTCAAAAATAGTTACTCTGCTCTTTAAAAGGCATAAAACTCACCGTTTGCATCCTTTTGCTCTATCATGTGAGTCTCTACTGCCATAAACTCTCCAAATGTGAAAAAAACCTGTCCATCCATGTTCTGTCAGTGCTTGGTTTTAGGTATCTGTTTACAAGAAATTTGCATAGAACCCCCACACACCTTCCAGCCTGGAGGAGCAGCAGCTCTACTCTGAGCTCCTCCCGAGTACTGGAGCTTCTCAGCTCATTGACTTTGGCACCTATGTCACCTGATCACGTGGGTCCACCATATCGGACAGCCAAAGCAAAGTAAACAGTGAGCAAAACGAGTATTGAACCAAGGGAAAAGTAGCACCTGAGATAGTTTTCTTGTTGTTGTTTTTTGCGACTAGTTCAAGCCCAATTCAGTAATCTGAAGAAGTAGCACATCTAGGTGGAGCAACAGGGAATTGCAGGAGTATTGAACAAAAAGGGAAATTAGCGAATGAGGTTTTTGATTTCGCCAGTTTAGTTTCTACTGGTTTGAGCCCAGTTCACTTGTTCCAAAGTCAACTTTTGTCCCCTGCACTTTTTACCATCCAAAAACAATATTACGCTATATTAAACAGACGGGTTGAGCACTAGGACCAAGAGTTCAGCTAGAATCTGATGTAAATGAGCTCTATTGATCAAATATTCAAAAAATAAGTGTAAAATGGTGACAATGAGAAGGAATGAAAATGACTGACAAGGTGAAAAACAAAGTTGAATTGAAAGTATTAATTTTTTGTTTTACTGCCACCTGTGTAATTCACAGTTCTGCATTCCTGACATTGCATAAAAGAGCCTCTAGACTGTAGCTTTATTCATAATTTTGTATACTTACTGTAAAGGCACCACACAGGACCCCCCCCCCCCCCCGGTCCTCATGCTGGGTGTGTCGTCCCCCCCACCCCCACCCGTCCCACACACACACTTCTAAAGTCAAAACTATGTCCATGCTTGTTAGAAGGTTTAGCACACCTAGGTGGGGCTCATAAAGAACAGTATTTACAAAAATGACGTGTTTACTAGCTTACAAACGTTAGCTTACGTTCTCCCTGCTGCTGTACACCGCTGTAAATAAGTTGCTGACTTTGCCAGAATTCACCCCACTGGATTAATAACATTATGGGATAAACAGCATTTCAATAATTGTATTTATTTAAAAAATAAATAAATAAATAAAAAACCCCAGCTCCCTATTAGTTCTTGTCACTGGTGGGGTCACCGGGTTCAGATGCTTCCTGTCTCGGTTCTACTGTGAAATCAACAAAATAAAAGCAATAAACTAACTGACATGTTTTGACTAGCTTCAATGGAATTTCAACATGTGGAACATATGTTTCTACCATCCGTAATGGCTATGGGGATGGTCCTATGAGTGGCGTGACATCACATGCAAAGAGTCAATAGCAGCCTGAGCATGGAAGGGGTGGGTGTGGTCAGCTCCAACTTGTTTTCTTAAAGTGACAGAGCCCTGGAGTGGCTCATTCTGGAAAGTACTGAAACTGTTAAGAATAAAACTGCTTAAATTGCTTCGTGTGAGAGGGTTTATTGCAAAGAACTTCATAAACATGTTTTATATCAACCATAGGACTATTATTTCTTTAAAAAATGTCCAAATTGGTCTCCTTTAATATTATAAAATATATTGTTATATAATTATTATATATTTTCTGCTGTTTTCAGGTGTGTTGTTGCATGATTTAATACAGTGTAATTACTAAAATACCTGCCAAATGATTGACCTGCCAGTTTAAAGGTTAAAGGGTCAAACTCCAACCATGCACATGAGGTTTTCTTCAGCTCCGCCTTAAGCTTTCTTCAGATTGAGACCTACTGTTTATTCTTTTGTGATTTAATTTCTTTATCCCTTAGTGAGTGTGGAGAGCTCAGTCTTACCCGTTTGATGGATTTGTTGACCACGGAGCATCGCTGTTGTCTGGCAGCTGTAACCTGAAACACAGGAACAAAAATCGAGACCGCTCAGAGAAGAAAAGGTAATCTCATAGGACAAAAACCAGCTGAAAGCAAAGCTATTGTTGGAGAAAAACAAGCGTGGGAGCCGAAGGAACACCGACAGTGATATGTGTGACACTCCCAGGCAGCATATCTGCTTCTCATATATGAACTGTAGCAAAGATCTGGAGTTTCACAGAACGGCTCCTGAACATGAAGACACTTACTTAAAGTCTGTGATGACGGGGTCCAGTTCTGGGCTGTTTATGACCGACAATCTGGAATAGGGAACACAGACGAGTCTGAAAACCTGTAGGCTTATTTTTTTATTCTTTTTTCCTGTTGCAGTTCCTTTTGTTTCTGACTTTAATAGAATAAATGACAGAATGCACAACGCCATCATACCGGCTCGGGGAGTCCATGCTGTCTTGTTCCTCCACTACACCCCTGTGAGGAGATTAATGAGAAAAGATGAGAAAATCACCTCATGGCATGAGATATGAGGGCTGAAACCCCTAAAATATCAGTTCTGTTCATGTATCAGGACTCATATCCAAAGATAAAGTCACGATTGTGTCCCCTAGGAGAGATACTGATTTTTTATATTAGATGCTCATTAACAATCAAACCTGAAGAAAAAAATGAATCAAAGGTTCACTGGATACATGAGTGAATGGGAAAAAGACACATTTAGATGAGAAAAATCTAATTCTCTCTGATATTTTTGTTTATAAATCATAAGTTTTCTGACCAAAACCAACATTTGACTCCATTGTTGTTTGAAACAAGTTTTAAAAATGCTTCATTCTCTCATTTTGGGATTTTTAGATTACTTTGGTATGTAATCAAAAGGTGTTGTAAGCATGACTGTACCAGATTAATCTTATGGATAAAGCATATTAAATAAAGTCATGTTGTTTTGTATGATTTCCTCTCATCCTATAGACTACTTTCCATTAGCTTTACCTCAGCATTTGACTGTAATCTGGACAAACAGCATCACGACAGAAATGCTGCCAAACAGGATATAAACTGGTTACACATTTAAAGAGAGCACATGCAGGAATCATAATACCAAACACAATTTATGAGTTCCCTTTTGTTTTACAGCTAAATAAAGTAGTTTACGATGGATTTCTTATTTCTATTTCTGACAGAAAGCTGGCTGCTCAGCCGCGGCACGATAATCTTATCTCGTCTCTCTTTAGATAAAAAGTCTGGCAGCTTTCATCACATGATGATTACCTTCAGGATCACCACTGCAGACCTTTCTGAATCTGACTGACATCGACAGGACTCAGATCCGCTCTGATGTCCTTCCCTTTTTCCTGCTTCTACTCACTTCTTGCTGTCATTCTTCTTCACGCTTCGTCTCCAGGTAAAACTCATCCCACCGAGCTGAGATCAGGTGAGAAAACAGCGGATAGAGCAGGTTTTACACAGCGGGCATGGAGGAACACACACTCTCACACTCACTCACACACACATACCAACAGGACTCTCACTTCACATACATAAATGAGGGAGAGCCGAGTGTCTTCCTGCTTCCTGAAGTGGAAAAAGGTGTGTTTTACTCATCACCATAATAATGACCTTTTAAATGCACAGGTATGTAGCTCAGCTCCATGGTCCTAAACTCCTCCAAGTTAGATTACTTGAACAAAAAAGGGTTATTCTCAATATTCCTGAATTATTATATAGATTTATCAAATTATACCCCACAACAAATCTTAGATTTACACTCAAAAAAGCTCTTCTTGCACTTTTTTTAACATGTTTATTTAAAGTGAAAAAAATCTGAACGAGACATCCATTTATATAGTCAACAAATCTACTTGGCTTTCAATTTAACGTTTCTTTTATGTTGAAGTATGAAAATTACACACAAACTGTTAAAATGTATGCTTTTAATTGTAAATAAATGAAAAAAAAGAAATGTTGATGCACATTTTGATGTTAGACTACTGGACTATTTACTTGGCTGCTCGGTCATAAAATTGGATTTAACTTAACAAATAGGTAGGAGCCTCCTATTGGATAATTACTGCATGAGCGATTATCTTTTAATCACCCATAAACAACCATGTGGAAAGACATCTGGTGGTCATGGAGAAAATGTTAATCTGCTTGAGAATGGTCAGATCATTGTCATGCATCAAGCTAAGAAAACATCTAAGGAGATTGCAGAAATGAATAAAACTGGGTTAAGAACTGTCCAATGAATTATTAAAAACTGGTCTGATGAGTCCAGATGGACCCTGTTCCAGAGTGATGGCGCATCAGGGTAAGAAGAGAGGCAGATGAAGTGATGCACCCATCATGCCTAGTGCCTACTGTACAAGCCTGTGGGGGCAGTGTTATGATCTGGGGTTGCTGCAGTTGGTCAGGTCTAGGTTCAGCAACAGGATGTGCTCCATGAAGGAGGTCAGCTGACTTCCTGGACATACTGAATGACCAGGTTGGCACGGGCATATTCCAAGATGACAATGCCAGGACTCACCAGGCTCAAAGAGTGAAAGAGTGGTTCAGGGGGCATGACATCATTTTCACACATGGATTGGCCACCACGGAGTCCAGACCTTAACCCCACTGAGAATCTTTGGGATGTGCTAGGGAAGGCTTTGTGCAGCAGTCAGACTCAACCATCATCATCAAGATTTTGGTGAAACATTAATGCAACACTGGATGGAAATACATCTGGTGACATTGCAGAAGCTTATTGAAACAATGTTACCGCGAAAGTGTGTGACAGTCAAAGCTAAAGGTGGTCCAATAAAATATTAGTGTGTGTGCAACGTGGGGGGGGACTTGGTTTGGCTGGGCAGTATGCAGTGGGGCAAAAGTATTTGACAGCCACTAATTGTGCAAGTTGTCCAATACATAATAATGGTGCACAAAATAAGTATTTAGAAGCAAGCTAGAATTGTGGCCCTCACTATTATTAGAAAATGGAAAAATACAAGATCATGGACTAACTCTCTCATCATGGGGCTCCATGCAAGATCTGTCTTGTGGGGTACAAATTATCTTGAAGACAGTGAAGAAACAGCCCAGCTGTTGTACTACACTGGGGGGACTGGTCAATGACCTAAATAGAGCTGGAACTACAGTAACAAAGGTTACAATTAGCATCACACCGTGGATATGATTACATCATGGAATAAAATCCTGCAGCACTCAACAGGTCCTATCAGTTTAACGAGCACAAGTCCGGGCCCGTCTACGGCTGACCAGAGATGACCTGGATGATCCAGAGGTGGATTAGGAGAATGTCGTGTGGTCAGGCAGAAATTTGTTCAATAACACACTGAATTGTTTTTGATTTAAAAAATAGTTCATTATAAAGTATCAACTGAATTATTTATAAAAACATTCCACCCCGATATCTACAGAAAACAGCAAAGAACCAACAGAAAAACAAACAGAACACCTTTTGAATCATGAACTTAATGAACTCAGTCTGGATTCACAACAGTCCTAAAACGGCCCTTGTTAGAATAACCAACAATCTGCTTCCTGCTACAGGCTCAACACATTCTCCTATAGTTCTGGATCAATCTGCAGTTTTAGACACATTTCATGTTTCACAATCTTCATATATGGGACAGCTCTCTCTCCTGGGCTAAATTAAACCTGTCTGATAACAATCCCCTATGTTAACACCCTTAAAGCAGTTTTGGAGTGCCCCAAGGCTGCGTACTTCCACCACTTCTCATTAACTTTTACTTGACCTCCCTAGACCACCTCATCTTCAACATCCACACACATTTACATTAGTACAAAGTTATCCACCCTCATCTACTTGAGGGACACCTAATTTGAAAAGCTTAAAGAAGCTGGGGATTTATTTTTTTTATTGAGAAAGGATGCCAGCTTTATTGTATTTATTAATACTCACATCCAGAACTTTTCTTGGAATCATCTTGGACTTTATTTTCTTTTTTTCATGTGAACCAAATCTGACCTGCCTTTTTTACGTCACTCTGTTGTGTAAAGTATACATTGTCAAAATATTAGAAATGCAAACAAGAAACTTAAGCCTTGAAATATTCATGTGATTGTTTTTATTTAGTATAAATACTGCTAAAAGGTGGCTGCTATGCTCTCCAGGATATTAGCAAACATTGCAAATGTCCACAGTGTGAATTAAATTGTATACTTAAGATAAATAAATATATTAATACATCATCTGCATAAAAATAACACTACAGAAACAACAAACCATGATTTCTTTTCTGTATTTATTTAGTTTTCGTTAAATGCATTACATAGTCTGGCAAAATCTCCCAATAATGGTTTTACTTACAAGTTAGAAAATACAAAATAAAATACACTTAGCTTGAGTTTAAGAAGACTTAATGAGTAAGCCCACAAGCATAAGTGGTTCTGGGTTTGTCTGTACAAATGTTATAGTGGCATTTGAAAGTGAGAAACTCTGGCATAACACCAGTCAGAGAACACACATGCAAATCTCTCCAATTTACAATAAACTTCAACAAGACACTGCATTTAGTAGAAAGTGCTGCATTAACTAGACAGTAAGTTGGTTTAACATGAAAGGAAGACATGTGGATAAAAACATGAGCTAAAATCATAAGTGCCATCCTTTATGCTGCTATGTTTGGTCAGACGAGTGACATGAAAACAAAGGCTTCAGCTGCCTTTTCCCTCATCAGAAACCTCCTAGCATCAGAGTTAAATAACACCCGTGGGAGAAGTGAAACGTCTCCATCTAACCTGCTACAGTGTATGTTTAAACGGTAGTGGGACACTTTGAAAGATGGGCTTTCTGCTCTCAGGTAGAAAACACAAGACATTGTTCGCTGGACTTCAACAGGACTCTGAAATTGATCAATTCTGCCAAATATGAAATGTCTAGTTTTAAAAAAAAATCCTTCAGGACATATAAAGTTAGCACTAGAGCTAACGTCAACATAAAAAGCACCAACTGTGGCACAGCTTCAAATGTCACGTGCTAAAGTGACAATTGCAGTGTTACATAAGAATGAATGATCTCTCATATTAGAGCTAAAATAAGAGAAATAGAAAGGATCTTAGGCAAAAATCTGCTTTTAGGGAGGCTAACCCAAGAGACCGTGGCTGAAAATTTTGAATTTATACTTTTTAAATTGCCGCATTTATAAAATTTTTCAGATATTTAACTGAAATGTTGAAAACATTGGAGGAATCAAATAGAAAACTCCAAACTTTGTTTCAAATTAGATTTTTCTGTTGTGGTGTATCTTAAGTGTTTAATGCCATTTAAAATACGAGTGTAGATTTCTTCAACACCTTGAACAATGGTAGATCAAATGCTAGGTGAGGTAAGCTAGCACTGAGAATTCAAAGACACTGAATAACGTAGAAGCGGAGTGTGATGGTCGGACTTGTTTTAGAAATCCCGATTTGCTGCCCTGATGGGAGAAAGAAAATCCCCATCTGCTCTTCACTGCAACACTGAATTTCAAATGAAGTGCGTTCTAATAATGATGTTTAAATGTAGCATTAGAAGGCAGGAAAGTGCCCTTGTTTCTATGGTTACAGATGAGCAGAAGGAAAGTTTGGGCACATCTGGGTTCGATAAACTCAGCATGCCAGCTAAAATCTGGTTAAATCCTCAGAGCTGAGGTGTGAATAATAAAATGTAGTGAGTTTTCTTTCTAGGGAAATTCTGTCTCGCTTGCATGTTTTAGTAAATCACATTCTGAACGTAACATTTGCAGTCATGTTTTAAAAACCTTAGGATTCATTTTCTCTGACTGGAACAATCTACTCCTCCATACTGGGATGTTGTCCTTCAGCCAAACCTGCAGAGGCCAACAGGATGGAAAAACAGCGCTCCGTAATGCCAGTGAACAGTGAGCAGTCAGGGGGAGGCGGAGGGGGAGCAGCTAGTGCTGCTGCATCAGTCCTGTGCAGTCTCCACCTTGCTTTGGTGCTCTCTGGGTTGGGCCGGGCTGTGCCGTGCCAGACCCCCCCGAGCCGAGGAGGAGAGCCTCCTCAGGAGAGTTCTGACTTGCTGAGAGCGATGGCGAGCTCCAGGTCCTCTTGCTCCTGCTGGGTGAGCCTTGCAAGTCGCTCCTTTTCCTCTCGCTCGCTCTCGCGCTTTGCCCACTCTATCATGTCTTCCTCGGTTGGATACTGCTCCATGAAACAGAAAAAAAATAAAACACAGAGCACACGTTGGATGCTGTTTCCTCTGAATCATCCCACACTGATTTCAAACTCAACGTTTGGGCTCTTGGTTGTTCACATTTAGTTATTCATTTTATTCTCTCACAACCAGCTGCAGCTGAAGAACTGAATACAAACTTTCATGTCAAGAGTGGCAATTTTTTGTCCCTCAGGTGAACGACTTTGTCAGTTTCACAGAAAGCATGTGATCAAAATAAAAGCAGGAACTGAAATGGAGACACCCAGTCAAGCTGGGATTTCCAGTGAGTCATGTGATCGGTGTCGGACCAGTTTAAAGGATCCAAAGCCACAGAACGATGGCAGCAACCCATGGCTTCAGCTGGGTAATCCTGTTAACATGCACAGTACCAGCAGGCTCTCCCCATGGACAAACAGAAGCTACAAAACTCACTGAATGTGTGTAAAGCCATGCAAAGGAAAGCCATGACCATGTTGACAGCTAGCTAGACGTTTTGGGTGGACGACGTGCAAAGCATGCATGATGAGACGTCTGAGACGTAAAATGAACCCGAGTGCTCATGCAGGTCATTTCTATCAGTAACTTCTGTTCAGAACAAAAGGAGAGCGGTTTGTACACCAGATCTGTTTGGTGATGACTTTATTTGGGGGTTAGCCCTTAAAAACAAGATAATGGATTGCTTTAGCTCCCTTTTAAACACCATGCAGACATAAAATGAGCTGCAGAATCATAAAAGCTGCTCAAAAGCATCTTATAATCTGTCTAAAACATGCTTTAGAAAAATATGTGCGGTGCATGCTCAACGTCTGGTAAATAAACTAGAGATGCCAGAGATGGTGCCCTTGATTTAACACTTTATTAAACTTTTCTTCAAACAGAGATTTAAAAACAAAGAGACAATACAAGCAACACAACGCTGATCAGACAGGGGCTGACATAAATCAACGGATGAGCAGATGGATGCATGGAGAGAGGGGTGCATGAATCAATAAATAGCAGCATGAGTAAAAGGTGAAAAAAACACTGATTTGAGGGATGACGGAGGCAGTTTGTAATGGAGCATCAGTCAGCCAGTCAAACACACAGTGTGTGTGGGTTAGGGTCGGACAGAAACATGCAGGTGGGGTCATTAAAAAAAATCATCACCGTCTTCTCGATCATCCAAACCCAAATTCACAACTTCTGCAGCTTTAGGGGGACGTTTCAGAAGCAGTTACAGCAAAGGTGCACTTGGGTGCAGTTTTTAATGGAAAAGGCCTCTGTGGTAAAACTTCCCTTAAATATGGTGATTTTGCGAAACAAGGTGTGAAATATTTCTTTCACCCGTGAAGAGTTTGGTTAAAGCTAGTTAGTTAAAACCCGTCTCTGAGCTTCAGCAGACACAGAATAAGCCGCGGGACTTCAATACACACGTTCACTCAAAAAGCAGCGTAAAATCTTTCTAATGCAGTAACCTAGTTTAGGTTATTCTGCTTTAACATGCGTGCGTGCACAGGGTGCAACATCAAGCAGCCTCTCATCTAGAAACTACTTTAGCTCTGAAATTGTGACTGTGGCTACAAATCAATTCAAATATATTAATTTATATAGTTTTAGGATATTTCTGTACATTTTTATGTCACAAATTACCAGAGAGCATCTATCCAACTACAAAAAAAGCCTTAAATTTAATCAAAATCGCCCAAATAAATGTGGTAAATTAGTGATTTTTAAGAAAATGGCATTAATAACAAACAGCTAACTGCAGGTGGGATGAGTGGAAAACATCTCTAAAACATTCTAGAATTACGCTACTTAGTTAAACTGTGAATAAAACTTTAGCTTCCTTTCTGTGGTTGTTGCTGTTGGCTGAGAACGGCACTGGCCTGATTTACTTGGCGGAGGCTGCGTTCCTGAAAAAGCTGCGATTTGTTTGCAGGAAAGAAAAGAGGGTGTGACTATTGACATTCAGGTGGAGGTGAGGGAGATGACGAGGGGGAGGTGCTCACTTTGTCAAAGCTGGCAAACCGATCAGCTTCCCGCAGGTTGTGCCGAGGAGGGGAGGAGGGGGCGAAGGGGTCAGCTAAAGGATCCTTGACAGGCAGGGAGGAGGAGGAGGAGGAGGAAGAGGAGAAGTCTCCTGAGGTTTGTGGGATGAAGTTTCCCCTTCGTTGGAAGGACTCAGAGGACTCGGTCCTAGAGATGGACGACCTCTTACCTGGAGGACAAAGTGCTCGTTTTCACTTGATGCGTCTCTACAGCAAACGTTTACAACCGTCCAGCCGTGTCACTGACCTGGAGGTGGAGGGGGGGGTCTCGTTGGAGTACCCGTTTTAGGGGGCAGGGCCGGAGGAATGTCCGAGGTGGGAGACTGGCTGTCCTCCTGAAACAGGTTCTTGTTGTTGATCCCAAACTGGTCAGGACCGTTTGACTGGAACAGGAAGTCGACACCCCAGTTTAGTTACTGGTGTAGCTTCATGTGTTCAGGAAAATATGTATTCAACAGTAAAACCTTCAGACATTTAGAGGCCATGTCTAAACTCTGAACATCACCTTGGACAGATCGCTGAAATCTGCAAAGCCTCCGACGAACGAATCGTTACCAAACACCGCAGCAAACGGATCTGAAAGAAAACAGTTCACCACATAAAGGTATTTATTATCTAATGCTTCCTGTCTCTAGAGTCCAGAGTTATACCTGCATCTGAGGTGGCGTTCACTGTTGTACCTCCAGGGGCAAACGGGTCATTTGATGGTGCAGGGTCCTGAAAAACAGAGACAAATTACTTTATGTGCATGCTTTAATAAACTACTTGAAATAATCTTCCAAAAAATGATGAGCCTCTAAATGATGTCTTTGTTCTTATATTATTTAACGCGTATTTAATCCACTCCAGCTGTCTACAGGGGATGGGTGATCATGTAGCATCATGCCTAGATTTGGGTTTAAGGGACCGTCATGCACTTTCTGGAGCTTTTGATCATGTTTTTTGTTTTTGTCCTCATTAAAAACACCCCCAAAGTGGTTTTTGGCTTCACACATGTATTTTCCCGTCTCAGCTGCAGAGTCTCTGGAGGTCTGCTAAGTCATTGCCAACAGCTGAATGAAGCAGGTCTGCATCATCGTGCACGGCTTCTCTCCATCCAGGTAGCATCGAATCTGGATCCCTCCTCTCCTGGACTGTAAACATTAACATTCAGTCCCTGCGTAGTAAGAAGGGAGTTTAGTCTCCACATTTGTGAAGAAGGAATTTCTTTATGTAGTCTGAATTTAAAATAATGCCTAGAACCCAAAAACGGTTCTGAAGAAGAGTTTAATTCATCTTCAGGAGCTCAAAACCGAGCCAGAATGAGATCATGATTTCACAGATTGGTTATTAATGCACCACCAATACCGGAGTGGGTTTTCAGATGGATTACTTCTTCAGACTGTGGCCAGCGTTAAAACCATCCTAGCATGGGCCACAGTGGCGTTGGTGTTAGCAACTCATTACCGGCTTCTACGACGGAGAACAGAGGTGGGGGTCACACTTGGCAATCGCAGGGTGGCCCTTTTGTCCTGATCCTCCCAGTAGCCACTTCACTACTGGTGTGCGTTTTAATCTACTGCTATTTTCTTCATTGTCCACAGCGCTTTGCTGGGGCTTCAGGGTTACGTTGTGTAATGATGGAATTCACACAGGTGGAGGTGAGATTTCATAAAAACCAAGCGTCTTATTTCTGGGTTGATAAAATGTCAAGAAAATAACTTGTTTTCCTGAACTAAAGACTCTCAATAGTGCCAGCGGTGGTATTTTAATCATTTACTGTGCCTAGCCTTGCTCTGTATGGTTTAAAATAGCATGATACACAATCTCTAAAATGATAAAAGGAGCCACTCACCAGAGCAACATCAGAACTCACAGAACAGTTGAAAGGATCTGTTCCTCCATCCCGTGAACTAAACGGATCCGTCTCCCCTGAGGGGTTGATTTTGCCTCCAAATGGGTCCCGATCCACCTTTCTGGTTCCCGTCGAGCTGAATGGATCCTTGGATGCTGGAGTTGGATTCATGCTTTTGGAAACAAACGGATCCTGGACTTCTGCTGCTGGTGCGGATGGTGTTGGAGCCATATCATTTAGCTTGGCTGCAAACAGGTCTGGTTCTGGAACACCGGGGGTGGTACCAAATGGGTCAGCTGAAGCGGAGAAAGGGTCCTCTGAGGAAAAGGCGGCGTTGGAAGTCTGTGCAAAAAAGGAATCTGCAGCAAACGGGTCCGAGCCTTTGAACGGATCTCCTCCAAAAGGATCTGACATCAAATGGAAAAAAAAATAGAGTTGGACATTTCTTTTCAACCTAACAGACCCATTTCTTAGACTGAAAAGGTAAAACTGACCTGCAACATCTGCTTTACCAAAAGGATCGTCTTTAAATGGATCATCTACAAAAAAGTCCATCTTTAAACATTTCCATCTCAGTGGGTGACTCAACAGACGCTTGACTCTTTATTATGAGAACTCACGATCTGTAAAAGGGTCTGAATGAAAGAAGTTCATCTCAGGCAGGGAGGGGGGGCTCGTTTGTGGTGGCATGGAGCGAGGTCCAACCTGAGGAGGCAACGAGGGGATGGCAGGTTCTGTCAAGTCTGCTGGCTCTGGTTTGCTCTCTGGCTCTGGGGACTCCACCTGTAGGGAGGTGACATGGTGCTGACTAGAATCTTCACAGTTACAGTTTATACATGTTTTATGAATCCTGTCTTGAATAATCAACTTCAGCGTCTGGGTTGAAGATAGAAGTGTGAATAATCTGACCTTTAGCGGGCTGCCTTTAGGTGAATCATCATCATCTTCGTCGTTGATCTCTGAAGAACCATCAGGTGCAAAGCTGCCGTTTCCCTGCTGATTTTAATGCAGCAACAATGTTAAATTGTCTCAGGTGAGAAAGAGTTTAATTAAATCTGCAGGAAAAATTTTGAAAATCAACAACAGAAATGTCTGTTTGCTGAACTTTAGGAGTTTACCTGATTTTATAGGCGTTTCAGTGAATGTAATGAATTCTTAGTTTGTAATTACCCCAACAGCGCCCTCTTGTGGCTTAGACAGACAGTTGTACAAATCGCAGGAAGCAAAACTATTGTAGAGATGATCCAGGGCATCGGGTTTCAGCTTTTCTTCCTCCACAGTCTTTGGATTCTCTTCTTCTTTCTTCTCTTCTCCTTCTTTCTCCTTCTTGTCTGAGTGTTTTTTCTGCTGACTGCAGGCAGCAGCTGGCTCCTCCTCCTTCAGCTTCTTCGGCTGGTCCTCGTGGAAGAGGTCCGGTTCTGCTGTGGAGCCTGGTGAGCCATTCACCATGACTGGAGAGCTGTCCTCCAGAGCCCTCTTCCAGCTCAGCTGTGCAGTCACGGACCTCTCCTCCACCTGAAGGTCTTGGACTTTCTGCTGAACCTAAAAATAACCAAGAGAAAAAGGAAAAAAAAAAAAGAGGTGATTTAATGTGTATTTTATTTAACCTCTGGCAATAAAAAAGTTCCATCTCTACAGAATCAGATTTATAATAATTATAAAGAAAACTAGAAAATGTAGAGATCAGATGAGTTGTTTTTCAGTCAGACGGCCCAGCTGGTCTCAGGTTGAGACCGCCGACACCGAAGAAATCACGTTTGAGTTCCTGACCTGCGAAACTTGTGTAAAGGAGTCACGGACGGACTCATGGAGTGGCGTGAGTTGCTCCTGAGCAGCCTGAACCTTCTCCTGCAGTTTCCTGCTCTCCTCCTGCAGAGCCAGAAGCTCCTCTCGCGCCTGGACGAGCTCCTCCTCGTACTGACTTATCCTGTGTTCCTGCTCCTCGTGCTTCGACTGCAACGACGAGATCTGGAACAACAAAAATCAGTTCTGACTTATTTATAAAATAGTCTAAAATCTCCCCGGTTTAGTAGGCAATAGGTGACAATAACTAAAACCCTACAAGGTTGGTCTCTTGGCTAGTTTGCTGTCTGATGTGGCTGAGCTGCTCCTCCAGCGAGCTCTTCTGCTGATCCAGCTCGTCCAAAGCGTCCTGGACCTTCTGACGCTGAGCCTGGAGTCGCTGGAGCTCCTCGCTCTCCTTCGCCACCTCATCCTGAAGGTCCTTCAGACAAAAACACAGAACAAGATTTAAAAGAATAAATAATAAGTATGCAGAGAGATATTTTTTTAACAAGCAGACCAAAACAGAACAAGATTGAACACACACGTCTTTGTTTCATTATTTATACTATTTTAATGCCTCATCGTGCATGGCAAGTGTCGGTTTTACACTTGACTATGTGAAGCATCTGTGGATCATCTCTGACTAGGGCATACGTGACTATATGAAGTGAATGAGAGCTGGAGGGGTTGGGCCGCATCAGTATCAGACCTCCCATCCTTCCTCACATCCAGACTGGAACCTCAAAAGCAGAGCAGCTCCTAAAATAGAGGCGATCAGCCTCTGTGGAAACAGACACGCCCACAGGAGGAAAGCAACCTGAGCCATGTTAACTACATTTCAGAGCAGCATCCCAGACTGTAGACTGACAGCATCATTAACCTCCTCCATCATCTCCATTTTGGTTAAAGTAAACAACAGCTTTAACACATACGTATATCTCTGGAATAGTTTTAATTTGTCTTGCTTCGTACACACGTTAAGCTCAAGCTTTGGCCAGACAACCAACCCCAACCACAAATTTTATCTGCAGCAACAGAAAATGTAACCTTACCTGCACTTCGCTGCTGCGTTGTCGAATGGCCTCCTCGTTTTCCTTGATCTCCTCTTCCACAGAGCTCTTCTCTCTGGGGGTCCAGCACAGCAAACAAAAGTATTCAGCCATGTTGGACAGACAGGTTGGACCCGGAAATCCCACCCCACCCAGCCACAGCCAGGTGTCTGCTGCTTCACCCCTTCTGTCAAACACCGTCACCTCCCGTCCCTCAAACACCATGATCCTGCCCCCAAAAATCACACCTTCCCAAATCAAGGAGCTGCTTCAAAATCAATGGCAGTGGTGTGGAAATGTTTAAAATGTAGAATAAAAACGAGGTATATGTAAGACTTCTGTGATGCACTGCTGTTGGCTCGATGAGGGTTGGGAAGACGGTGTGTGCCTGTGCAGAAAGATGTGCGGGGTATCAGAAGCGAGAAACAGATGGAGGCATGGGGATGGAGAGAGCGAGAGAGAGAGAGCGAGAGAGAGAGGGAGAGATGAGTCATGAAGAGCGAACTAGAAACATCCATCATGTGTGCAACCCTATCCGCTCTTCCTCTTACCCTCACCGCTTCACACAGCAAGAGATTTTATCCAGTCCTACTTTTGAAACCCTGAAATGACTGGGCTGTGAGTTTTCCCCTTGATGAGTGAGAAAAATAAAAACAATATTAAAATAAAGGCAAAGGAGGTGTTTTATTTCCTGTATCCGCATGTTTGCTGAAGCGGATACGTTTTAGGTTAGTAAAATTGTTAAAAATGCAAAAGGTAAAAAAATAAAATAACACAACAGTGTGAACCGATATTCTGGACAAAGGCAAAGCTCTCGTTTCTGCCTCACTTCCAGTCGCCTCGTTTAAAAATACCTCAAACGGATCAGCAGCTATTCTCTGCTTCCACATCAGTACAGGGTAAAAATAAAAGTGTCAAACCCACTCTCTCCTTTTATATTCTCACCCTCACCACACATCAGGATGTATAATTCATCAGATAATATTTCAGAAGGAACTCTAGAGTCTGCTTTTGTCTGATCTTACCTATAATTACGGTGACTAACGTCCTTATTTGGGGCAAACGGCGGCTGCCAAAATTTGAAGCAGCTGCAAACACGTATCATCCTCTTATTTTTCTGATTTTGATCCGACACCGGCCTTCGTTTCTAGCCTCATCATACAGTGTGTGTGTGTGTGTGTGTGTGTGTGTGTGGGCTGGAATACCATTTTTCACTCCTCACTTTCAGTTTTCATGAATGGAGAACCAAAACTGATCATCTTGAATAGTAAGTTGGTAACATGCTGACAACTACTAAGGCGACAGAGACAACAAGTCCATCTGCTGCTGAAAACTTATCCTGGCACTAAAGATGACGTGAAGCATTGAGGCATGGGAGGTCATGATGTGGTCATGCGGCATCAAACTTTCTCCAGTGTGAACGCTTCACAGCCCCAAAGAGACCCACATGCGCAGAAGACGAGAAGTCACACTCAATGTAGCCGAAACCGGGAGCGGCGGAGTTGTGGCGTGAAAGTTTCATTGACGGTTTATCCACAGGATGCAGGATCAGGACCTGTTAATTCTTTCATTTTGGGCTGGAAACTGTTTTAAAAACTGTAAATTATTTTACTCCTTGTTCCCACCTTCTTCCTGAATTATTATTCACCGAAAACGTTCCACTGTTAATTCATTCACGGAGACCCCCCCCCCCACGGAGACGGGTGAAATGCTTCGCTCCAACAGCACCTCCCACTCACATGATTTCCTGTATTTTTAATTCCAAAACTTAAAACAGGACGTCCAGACAGACTCCTGAACCCTTCCGACAGCGCTCCTCAGGAACATCCACACTCACGACGCTCACCTCCGCTGACTCAGTGACATAGGAGACAGATTTAATGCGACAAGACTGTTCAGACTGCAGTCGCTTTCAAAAACATTAGATCGGAATTAGTACTACATTTGAAGAAAATCGCATCTGTGCCATTCAGACTGCCATAAAAAAAATCAGAAATGTGTGCATGTGTGGAATAAACCTGATTTTGATGTGCTTTTGCCTGCAGTGTGAATGTAGCCTTAGAGGGTTGGATTGGGGGTTAAACCACCAAATAATTCCCGAGCGCAGCCACTGCTGCAGCTCACCACTCCCCACGGGGATGGGTCAAATGTGGAGATGAATTTGACCAGTGTGTGATGACGACTAATGAAACCAACTTTAAACCATCTGCTGAATTCTGCAATCCAAGACTTGGATAAAAACACAATTTTTTTTGGCATCACTGACATTGTTAAGACTTCTATGCTCATTTTGTATCACTGAGCTTGCATTAATTAAACAGTGGCTCATAAATACCACTTTAAGATGGAACCAAAACAAAGTGCATCAGCAATGATGCGGCTTTACTTCCTTAATGGGAAGAGAAACACTGCACCCTGCTGGTCAGCTCAGGTTACGGCTATTCAGATTTGATTCACAAAAACCTGTGAACAACGCTTACGACCCAATCTGACATTGGAACATACCACTTTTTATTGGATGGTTCTAAACATCTAAATAATGAATAGCATTAACCAATGTGGCTAAAAGACCAAGTTCACTGAGAAACCACTTTTTACTTGTTATTTTTGAAACACGATAAATTACTCTGAGATTTCCATGCAGGCTGAAGGTGAATAGTCTTCAACCCCATTTCCTGCATTAGCTGTTGAAAGAAAATAGATGGGGAAATGCTCGGGTCAGACAAAGCCACACAGGTCTGCGTCACACTGAAACTTGGCATTCATGGACTCGCCCATCTTGGCTCATGACGACGAAGGCTGCTGTTGGTTTTGTGTCCAGGTGAGAGCAGAGCAGAACATGGCCGTTTCTCATTACTAAAGTATGCTAGTACATTCTTGTGTACTTGACAAGGTCGTTCTTGAAAAATACAGCAGAAAGTTCATTCTACTGATCACTGGAGAACAAGGACGACATTTAGAACATAACCATTCTGGCAACAAGTGCTGCTTTATGCTACGGTTGAAAAAAAAATGACGTGAAAGAAAGAAAAAAAAAAAGTATGAATTATCCCTTAAACAAAATAACAATGAAAACATTATATTTGTACAACATTTGGTCCACATTTAATCTAAACTGATAAAATGTCAGCTTTTCCTGCTATTAGAGGAGGAAAAGGGTTTATTTTTCATCAAAACAGAGCTATTTAAGGCTAAGCTGGCTTTATTTTGATAGTGGGTTAGCCAATTAGCATTTTGAGGTATCATGAGGAGTCTGAAAAAAATAAAATAAAATACCCAAACACAGCAAATTGTACAGGCTACACACAATTATCCACAAAACCGACACCTTTATACTTATTTATTTGGACTAATTTGTATTTTTTATTTAAAACACCACAGTTATAAGCTTTGTCCTCTGCCTTTTTACATTCGAGGAATAATGGTTTGCAACCTCGCCTGGCCTAGCAAGGTGCCTTGACATTGAGAAACACCCATTGATGCATCCTTAGTACGATGTGTGGAGCAAGAACACATCCGGGAACGGGATACGCATTTAGGACTGGACAAGTACTTCGTCCAAGGTTGATTTAAACAAGTAGGTGAGTACACATGTTCAGAACGCAAATTGAGAAATGTTCCTTTTCTTGGCTAGTAGAAGCTAACCATTAGCATTAGCAAATCTAACATGGCACAACTCATTCAGGCTTGTGTTACTTGTGGAGATATACAGTTAATTTGCAAAGTAAACCGACTCAGTGGTAGAGTTGTGTTGCTATTGGCCAATCGGGTGCTAGCACAATGCCTCTGATTGGCTAAAGATTCACAAATCTTCCGCTGCCTTCGCTCATTCCTTTTACTTGGGGCAACAATAATGCTGATGTTTCATCTCCACAGATATCAAGCCTAAAATCTGTTCTGCCATGTTGTGTAGTTGCTAGTGCTAATGGTTAGCTTCCATTAGCCAAGACGGGCTCTGCTCTCCCCTTCCCGTAGTCACAAGCTAAAGTGGGCGGGTCCATGAATGTAAATATTCCCTGCAACACAGAAGAGGCTGGCCTTTTCTGATCCAAGCGTTTTCCCCATCTATGTTCTTTCTGCAGCTCATGCAGGCGATGAGGGTTAAAGAAAACATACAGATTTACTTGCATGTGAAAGGACAAGTATTATATGGCTTCTCTGTGAATGGCAGCGTTACATGAGTATTCAGAGAAATGATTACCGTTGTAGCTCAACAATCTCGTTACTGAGAGAGTCCAGCTCCTTAATGGCGGAGAAGTCAGCTGCGAGGTTAGCAATGTTGTTCTGCAAAAGACACGATAATTACAAATTAGTGTGAACCCCTCAGTAAAGTACAATTTTACGACACAACAAATAAACAACCACATTGCTTTTAATTTCATCAAAGAGCCAGATACCAATATGTAGAAGGGGAAAAAAGGAATGAAGTAAAACAAAAAGATCACAGAGCCGAATATATAAAACAAAACCTGATCAGTAACAAACTAGCTCCTATTCTGATCCGCGTACAGGTGATGGTCACAGAGAGGGTGGCTCACCTGCTTCATGTTTAGTCTGTCGGAGGGAGGGATCATTTCTGGGGTGAGAGACTGCGGTGGCTCCAGGCCTTTTGTCAGCTTCAGATTGATCAGATAAAGTGCCAGAGCAAACTGTTCTCGGGTCAGCTTCCCGATGTCTCCAATGTCACACAGCTCCCTGAGGACCAACACGCAGAGTTGCGTAAAAAAAATGATTTACACCTCAGGCTACGACTGCTTCTATAAACCTGACCAACCATTACAGAAGCCGATACATGGGATCATCACGGCAGGACGGAAGCTAAATCAGCCATGCGAGGATAAAAATCTATAAAATGGATGTTTCACTGGTCTGGTGTAAAAGCACATGCTGCTGTCCTGTAATCTTTCACCGCCTCTACTTACCAAATACGTGCAAGTGTGGCAGAAGGCAGCCCGGTTTTGAGGAAAATGTCTCTCACTTCTGCTCCAGACACCAAACCGTCCATGTCCCCATCTGTCTTGTTGAAAAGCTCATCGAATTTGGCTTTGTCCGCAGGAGACACCACCCACTGTTCGGATATAATGAGACTTTTTATGGTCCATGACAACAGGTGAATGTCTGCACGTCCTATCCGGTTACCACCCAACTACAACTTCACTCACCTTCACACTCCTTCTAGTCTTGCTCTTTTGAAAAACACACTGAGAAAGCCAGTTTGAAATCATCCTATCTTTATGATGAAGTTATTGGGAGTAAAAGAAAATCCCAAAAGCTTGGAGAATGCAGCATGCAAAGGAGAGAGAGAGAGAGAGAGAGAGAGAGAGAGAAGTACTCACAGGGACAGCGGCTGGAGTGGGGACGGGAGCTGGGACGGGAGCTGGAGTGGGTTTGGGAGGGTGGGGAACGCTCTTAGAGGCAACGTGGGAGGAGCGACTGTCTTTGACGGAGGGAGGTGAGGGCAGCAGGGGCATCCCAGGAGGGATGGCAGGTTTTTTCCTCTTAGAGGGCGGAACTAGGGGAGGCGGCAGGGACATGGGAACGGGCTCGCCCTCTAGAGCTCTATACACCAGGTACATCGCCTGTAACAGCCCAGCACAAACATTACAGAACATAGAAGAACGGGTTAGTATCTTCATACGCAAAACAAAGCATCAATTATATAAAACAGTCTATTCATTTAGAAAACATTCTGTGTCGACCAGATTTGTAAGAAAGTCTCAGCCATGAACCTAACCAACGACATATCATACAGAAACTAATATCAGATGAAAGAGCCCCGACCCGAGAGGTTTCTGTTTGGCGTGTGATATCAGCTCATACCGTACCACAGAAAACTCATCTTTGTCCAACATGCCGTCTCTGTCCAGATCACTCAGCTCCCACACCTTCAACACAAAGACGACACGGTCATAGGAAACCATACGACACATTTAACTCGTCAGTAAACCGCTGACTCAGAATCAGTTCTCACTTCATATACTTTTAGATCAGATCAGAGAAAACACAGAGATCATCATCACCATCTTTAACACTAATTATTAAATGTAATGTCAGACAACCTCTGCATACCATTTCATAATAACTCGGTACGTTTACCCTTAACTATCAAGAACAGCTTACACTAAAGACCAGTTAACAAGTAGAAATCTAAATAAGAGCCTCAATTAATAAAATCACTTTGCCAAAATGCTAAAAATCACATTAAAAAAACACTTTTAGTGGTTCCTACTCGGCCCAAGATGTCCACCGGCAGTTTGGAGTTGAGCAGGACAGGTTTGACTTTCTCCCCCGACAGCATCCCTCCTACTGGACCCAAACTGTCAAAGATGTTGTCGAACTTCATTTTCTCTTCAGGCTGAGGATAAAAATCAACATAAACAATAATTACCCTGTGAGGACTCACACTTGTATTCCTGCAGCACATGAACTATAATCTGATTTAGGGCATCTTTTGAAAAAAGGAAAAATAAAAAAATAAAAAAAGACCAAAACATAAAAATTAAAAAAATCTGATTTGTGTTTGAAGAATTTAATCCTATTCCTGTTTTTTGTTATTAACACACATATCTGCACTAGAGGTCGATGGATATTAGTTTTTCTATTCCCAGTACAGATAGCTGATATGTACTGCAAATTTTCATGGCTGATATCTAGAAATTTTCCACCTTATTTATTTCATGCTAAAATGTCACTATTGGCAACTCTGAACTTAACTGTTAAATCTTAACTTTGTGCACTGCTCAGCGTCAAAGTCAGACAGGTAAAGTTAACTCTTTGGGTGCCAGAGTGTTTAAGAAAATATTCAATGTTGACATGACTATTTCAAAAGGTTGTAGCGTGAAAATGGTTAGAGATGAAGATAAACTGTAAATGAGGAAAATCTTCAGTAGGAGTCAAAGTTTGTGTTGGGAGCAAAATCACTCATCTAATTCACATATTATGATGTCATCATACTGCCATATTGGAATGCATCATTTTTTCAGATGTTCCTTCTTATTTTTACGTTATTTTGATTTTTTTATTTACAGGTGCTGGCCAGTAAATTAGAATATCATCAAAAGGTTGAAAATATTTCAGTAATTCCATTCAAAACGTGAAACTTGTACATTATATTCATGCAATGCACACAGACCAATGTATTTCCGATGTTTATTACGTTTAATTTTGATATTTATAGGTGACAACCAATGAAAACATCAAATCTGGTATCTCAGAAAATTAGAATATTCTAAAGGCCAATGAAAAAAAATGTTTGTTTCTCTAATGTTGGCCAACTGAAAAGAATGAACATGAAAAGAATGTGCATGTTTAGCACTCAATACTTAGTCGGGGCTCCTTTTGCCTCAATAACTGCAGTAATGCGGCGTGGCATGGACTCGATCAGTCTGTGGCACTGCTCAGGTGTTATGAGAGCCCAGGTTGCTCTGATAGTCGTCTTCAGCTCCTCTGCATTGTTGGGTCTAGCGTATTGCATCCTCCGCTTCACAATACCCCATAGATTTTCTATGGGGTTAAGGTCAGGCGAGTTTGCTGGCCAATCAAGGACAGGGATACCATGGTCCTTGAACCAGGTGCTGGTGGTTTTGGCACTGTGTGCAGGTGCCAAGTCCTGTTGAAAGGTGAAGTCTGCATCCCCATAAAGTTGGTCAGCAGCAGGAAGCATGAAGTGCTCTAAAACTTCCTGGTAGACGGCTGCATTGACCCTGGACCTCAGGAAACAGAGTGGGCCAACACCGGCAGATGACATGGCACCCCACACCATCACTGACGGTGGAAACTTTACACTGGACCTCATGCAACGTGGATTCTGTGCTTCTCCGCTCTTCCTCCAGACTCTGGGTCCTTGATTTCCAAAGGAAATGCAGAACTTGCTTTCATCAGAAAACATAACTTTGGACCACTCAGCATCAGTCCAGTCCTTTTTGTCCTTGGCCCAGGCGAGACGCTTCTTGCGCTGTTTCTTGTTCAAGAGTGGCTTGACACACGGAATGCGACACCTGAATCCCATGTCTTTCATGAGTCTCCTCGTGGTGGTTCTTGAAGCGCTGACTCCAGCTGCAGTCCACTCTTTGTGGATCTCCCCCACATTTTTGAATGGGTTTGTCGTCACAATTCTCTGCAGGGTGCGGTTATCCCTAGAGCTTGTACACTTTTTTCTACCACATTTTTTCCGTCCCTTCGCCTGTCTGTTAATGTGCTTGGACACAGAGCTCTGCGAACAGCCAGCTTCTTTAGCAATCACCTTTTGTGTCTTGCCCTCCTTGTGCAAGGTGTCAATGATTGTCTTTTGGACAGCTGTTAAGTCAGAAGTCTTCCCCATGATTGTGGTGCCTTCAAAACAAGACTGAGGGACCTTTTAAAGGCCTTTGCAGGTGTTTTGAGTAAATCAGCTGATTAGAGTGGCAGCAGGTGTCTTCTATATTCAGCCTTTTCAGAATATTCTAATTTTTTGAGATACCAAATTTGGAGTTTTCATTAGTTGTCACTTATGAATATCAAATTTAAATGTAATGAACATTGGAAATACATTGGTCTGTGTGCATTGCATGAATATAATGTACAAGTTTCACGTTTTGAATGGAATTACTGAAATATTTTCAACCTTTTGATGATATTCTAATTTACTGGCCAGCACCTGTATATATGCATATATAAAGCATTTTTGAAAATGTTATTGCATTGTTTATCTTTTATATTGTATGAGTTTATATTGGCCTCAATCAATAGAAATGCTTTTTAGACATATTTGTCTGCTTTCTTTGGGATTGGACAGCTTCAGGGACGTCCTTCCCTTGAATATAATCATTTGATCCGAGGGGAAGAATATTTTTAGGATTATGTGGCACACTTTGACTTCCACATGTAATGCATCTGTCGCTTTTTTACATTGCCACTATGGTCACATTACTTGTGTTTTTAACCATCATTTCTACATCCACCACGTCCCAAACACGGGGACACAAACTTCAAACCCAACGTTTGGAGCTCGTAAGTGTAGCATCAGCTGTCGGTTGCTGTGTGCTGCAGCAGCCCCCATCTTTCCGGCGGGATGAGTGAATTTCTTCATCAGAGAGTCAATATCCGGCTTCATAACAGGAGTCAGCCATGACCAAAGACATTGTTTCACCTACATAGGCTCAAGCATGGCGCTGCGCCATGGCTGAAATTCCAGCACCACTCCTACGAGATATCCCCCCCCGATATATCGGGCTACCCCTAATCTGCGTTATCAATAATAAACCAAATGATTTCACTAGTAAACACAGCATAAATGCTTTGTACCTAATAAATGAAAACTGCTCACCTTCACAACCCAGGGGGCGTCAGCGGCCACTTGTCCTGCTAGCAAAGGGCTATTTGTGTCATGCTGCAAACACAGAAACGTATAATAAACGTAATAACCAGAAATAAATGTTTAACTACAAGAAAAAAATCAGAACAGTAGAAACAAAGAGGTGGTGTCCGTGTATGAAGAAGTTCCCATCTACAGAACATTTGTGGCTCAGTCACAAACTTACAAATTTGGGGGGAGGAACGGCCACATTAAGACTTTTAAGCGCCACCTCCAGGCCGTTCTGTGCACAAGCCACCAACCGCAGCGCCACGAAGAATTGCTGAAGGGACATTAGAAAGAATAATGTAAGCCTGGTGTTGATCCAGCACCAAAAATAAACCCACCATGACATAAAGTCCTCTGTTTGTACCTGTTTATTGAGCGCTCCTTTTCTTTCAGAGTCAGCTAAATCCCAGATCTACGAAGATATCATTATGCATTTATTTTAAACACTACTAACATTAGTTCTGCCAGCATTCCAACACAACTAGAACTCCCACTAGCAGTCACTATGACGATTGGCATTCTGACCGTTGGAATGCGAGGCTGGATATAGAGATAAAAATAACAATATTTCTTTATTGATATTTGATCAATGTTAACATGAAAATTAAAGGACACATAAGTCAGGAAGCAGTCAAAACGACTGCCTTTGGAGTTCTACTGTTAACCCTGAAGCCAAGACAGAGACGCTAAGTTGGGATTGAGACAAAACTTAGCTCACCTTGCCCAAGACCATGTCAGCCAACCCTGACCGCTTCAAGAACAGAGCCGCATCAGCTGCCGCTACCCGCCCGCTGCCAGTGGGATCCACCTGCATGCACGCCCACAGCAGCATGTTTAATGTGCATGACGCTCGGATGCACAGGTTCTGAATAAAGAGCCTGTGTCTCACTTTAACCAGAACTATTATAATCTCTGTAGTATTAGCTCAGCACTCCATTAGAAAGCCCAGAGGGAGCTTCCCTGAATGGTTGTCAAAGGGAAACATTATTAATTCATAGGCTGGAAAAGAAAAGGCAGAAGAGAGAACTCACCAGTGAAAGCTCTACAGCTAATTTCAATTTTAAATTCACAAAAGCAACAGATAAAAACGGTTGTTCTGTGTTAGTCTGTTTGAATTTGACACAACTGAATGACATTGGTTAAAAAAACTACTGATATTTAAATTGCTATAATAAATATTCATGCTTATAATATAATTTAACAAAGGGAAGATGAGTGGTCGTTTCCATTACCTGTCGATAATGTTTGTCATAGATGGGATTTCCACTGGAAAGCTGAAAACAAATAAAAGCATGTTTGTAAATTTTGCAAACCTCATTTGATGCGTTTCATAGAGTCCAAAACAAAATTTTAAAGTGTCAGTTACAAAAACCTAAAATGTCTGTATTTCTCTAAGAAATCTTTTTAGTTTACAAATTTGAATAAAATATAATCTGGCAGCTAGAGAAAATCAGTCAGAAGATCAAAAACTGAAAACGTTAACCACAGAGTTTAAAAAGCCACAGAGCCACTAGAGTACATGCACCAGTAGATTTAACCTTTAAATTTAAAATATTATAAAGCCTAAAATATGCCACAAAATGTTAGCTTATCCCAGAACTGATCATAATTAATCAGTAAAACCAAAGACACGTTGAAGTAATGCCACTTTTGTGAAGAACAAGTGATGCCACTACTGGGATTCTTGATTGTTGAATAATTAGATTTTCACTGTTACAGGTTCTAAGAGGTGAGTCTTTATTCATGCAAAAATTAAATGACAAACATATCTTTGTGTTTTTTATACAAAGCAAAGTTAATCATTATTTTCTGGTGATGAAACTGCAAAGCAAGGCTAACTGATACTAAAGCTCTGAGCTGAATTACCATGACGATACCTTCCTGAAGCCTGTGATTTGTGTTCAAACTAAGCCACAAGATGTTAACACTCGAGAGTAATTTGCTTTTCTGATGTAATATCCCTTCTTTCCTCTTCTCATCTGAGCTAAACAGGAAACAAATCAGCATTTCCCTGTTTTTAAACTAAAAATGCTAAATGGTAGCTTCCATGAAATAGAGAAAAGGAGTGGACAGCAATTATCTGGTAAGTGGATGTGCTGAGGAGCGGTCTTAAAAGCTTTCCTTCCATCTCCAAACCAATATGAAGATGAAGAAGAAAACAGCAACATCATCTTAGGAGTAAATTATGTAACCAACTCTGGCACATAAGATGATGGCAAAAAAAAAACATAGCCTGTCATCAGCAGTTGTCTGTCAGCTACTTTGGACAACTAAATGCCAATTTTAAAGTGAGATAACTGTTGAGGCGCACGCACACACACACACACACACACACACACACACACACACACACACACACACACACACACACACACACACACACACACACACACACACACACACACACAGAGAAATTGTAACACAATAGTGTGCCTGGAACTATCGATGGCTGTGACACTGTCATCATTGTACTGCACTCTTTAAAAAGCCATAAAGTGAAAAAAAAACTATAACCATTATTGCATAGTTCATTCAAAACTTTGGCATTCAACAAGATGCATCATGTTGCATTTGTTAACAGGACAGGCTGGTTTCTCTTTGACATTTCAACATGTTTGATTGTCACAGCAATAAAATGGTAAACATCAGTGTCAGCAGAAACATGGAGGTCAGATTAGATACTAATCAGACAAGAAGCAGCAGCAATGAAGAGAAAACAGAGACAACGCTGCTCCTGCTCTGTTGACAGAGGCAACAGAGGCTCGGGTGACCATACCAATTAAACTTGCCCGCTACCTGCTAAATAACTTACAATTCACCAACTTTGGGTTCTTCACCCAACTAGCAACAGGCTTTTACTTCTGACAGCAGAACGAGCTAGTGGCTGCCATAGTTAACTTCCTCTTACTGGTTTCAGAACGACAGTTTACATTATTTAAAGCTGCACTACTAAAAATTAACTCAACGTTTACATTAAATAATTGAACATAATAAAGTCTGTCCACTTCAAAAATGTCAAAGGAATAAAAACACATCAACCGAAGCACGTTTCATTCTATTTATAGCCATATCAAGTGTAACCATGCAGACAGCCATGGGAGTAGCAACGTAGCTTATAAAGCACACGAAAGCAGAAGATGCAACACAACATAACTAAAACTTGGAGCGAACGTTAACCAACTAAAATATGACAGCAGAGCCACAACAGAGAGCCACACATGGTTATCATCTTCTTAGCAAAGACCGGCTGGCCTGCGGCTAACAGAGGGTGCGCAATGTTGTTTTAAAGACTGCTAACCAAAGCCAAGTCACGTTAGCTAAACGTCAAGTTTGACAAAGAAGCCCCACTAACAGCCCCACACTGGACATAAACTAGCTGTTAGCAGGCAGGCTAGCTGGCTAGCTACGCCCTTACGCAGTCCCCAAAGAGATTAGACAGAAACTTTTCGCAGCAGGGCTAAAACTTCCCCAACACCGACGACGGTCGAGGAGAGCACTCGTTTCCGCCCGCCCAGTCCGGCCAGCACCACTGAGTTGGGCGCAAGTAACGCGGACAGAAGCCCGCGGCGTTCGTTGTCGTTATATTTGAGTTGTAAGACACTGTTACCTGAGTAAGAGACAAAGTGGCAGCCATAGTGTTTCTGTTTCCCACTGCTTTCAGGCTGCGCTGCTGCCAGACACAGACAGAGGCCGCTGAAAAACCTGGAACCGGACCCGAAATACAGAGTCGTCCAATCACACCCACTAACAGCAGGCCAGTCATTTAACCCTGGGCACGCCCATCGACATAATATACGGGCACACCCAAAAGGAGGCCCGGGGGCCCTTAGTGGCCCTCGGAGTGATTTTGTTTGGCCCATAGACTGTTTGGCCTCATTATTGAATTTCTAGAATGGTGGGATTTTGTCTCTCCTGCAGTCTGTTGATGTAGATAGAAACTTTGAGATTTTCATGATCAAACATTTTTATTAATGTGTATATTTTTGGTGTTTTGAACCATATAAAAACATAAAATAACTGCAGCATTATTAAAAAAAATTCAGTTGATTATTTTGCTCTTGAAAGGGTTGGACGTTCCAATTTAAAGAGCAAGTCACTCCTACCAGACTCTTAAGCCTGGGGCACACTGAAGGCAGACGCACCGCACCCGCGCCGTCGTTTTAAATAAAAGCCATTATAGTTAATGAGAGTGGGTACACAGGGAACGCCGCGCGGCGTCCCAGAAGCGCTGTGCTGCACCTAGGCACTGAAGACAGGTGCCAGTTTTATCTCAAGTGCCGCGGCGCAGCTGTTTACAACATTGTGGAGTACTTTACAACAGACATTACGACGTGGAATGGCTTTACGGCACAAACCCAACCACAGTTTTGATAACTTCAAATTTAAATAAATAGCATACTTACCCATTTTTAATTAATTTGAGTCTCACAAAACATGACAGCAAGTCTGATCATGTATAAACAATAGAGTCACTTCCTTATTTCTGTTCTCAAGTCCAACGTGATGTTGTGACTATTACGCGACTTTCCAAGAAGCGTTCAGCAGCTCCGCCTGTGTGACCACTTGACTTCTCAAAATCTCGAGAGTGACGCAGCGCGTCCCCCTCCGGCAACAAATACTGCTGCCTGGCAGACCAGCTCAGTGACCTAGTGGTAGAGTGACCGCCCTGAGACTGGGAGATCAGGGTTCAATTCCTGGTCGGGTCATACCAAAGACTTTGAAAAAATGGGACCCAATGCCTCCCTGCTTGACACTCAGCATTAAAGGGTTGGACTGGGGGGTTAAGCCACCAAATGGTTCCTGAGCACAGCTGTGTCTGCAGCTCACCGCTCCCCCAGGGTCAATTGCGGAGAACAAATTTCGCACACACATCAGTGTGTGACAACTAATGGGACTTTAACTTTAACTTTAAACTTGACAGAGAGGGCGGAGTCGCTAACAAATACACGCACACAGACTCACAACGACATTGTGACATCATAATGTACCAGCTAATGTCAAATAGTACCTCTTAGTCAATAGCAATGGCAGATTTACATTCAAATGCAGTGCAGAGTTTCTACCTAAGGATGGCACAACACTGACATTTTTAGGCAGAATATTTATATTTTAACTAAGATGCACAAAAGTGCTCTTTAAAGTCACCCCCTACCAGTTTTAAAATGCAACAAATGCAGTTGCCTGGCATACCAAGAGGGCGTAGCCGCTAACAAATACCCCCCCTCCACCCCCCCCCCCCCACCCACCCCCCCACACACACACAAGCTCACAGCAACATTGTAACGTCATAATGTACCTCTTAGCCAATAGGGATGGCAGATTTTAATTCAAATGCAGTGCACAGTTTTTACCTGACAACGACGCAACACTGACAGTTTTAGGCAGAATATTAAAATTTTAACTAAGATGCACTAAAGTGCCAAATTATTGACTACAGCACAATTAGACACTCATTTATATAGTTTATCAGCAAAATGTTGATTTAAGGGTGACTTGCTCTTTTAACAGACAAGTGATAGTGTGTATTTTTCCTGGCAATAGGGGGCAGTAGATAACTAAATTGTTACCAAGGGATGCCCGTTAGGGTCAAAAAGCCCTGGGGAGCAAACTTTAGCATAACAATAAGCACATCAGACTCCCTTTCGTCACTGGCAACAACTTAAGAGGTAAATGTGTAATAAAATAACATTTAAGAATGGCAAAAGTTTTGTAACTGTTTGTTACAAATCAGTAAATGCATTTGGTCTTCACGGGCTCCCGTAGAAGGAAACATGGCATCCAATATGGCATCCAGAGACTTAGGGTGTTTCTCAATTCCAAGGAACCTCATCTTGATGTCTTGGCCTAGGAGATACATCATCAGGAACTGCCAAGAGGTGTTCCGATGTTCATGTTCTACTGAGGCGTCTGTTCTCCATTTGTTAGCCGTTTATCTAGCTGAGCAAGGATACACAGGATGTGTCTTGTAGCTTGGTCAAAAATTTCCCAGAATTCACTGCTGTATTTTCAAAAGGATGGCGGACCAGTAGCCAGCAGCTACTTCGGAGGCAAATTTAAAGTTTAAAAGTAAGTCAGCTAATTTTAAATGTTTTTTTTTTAGATCCAAAGAAGTTATCTATGGATGGTCAGTTGCTTATTAGTTGCAGCTTTGGTGGCTAGTGGGTAGTAACTCGCTTATATATTTAATTTAATAAACATTTACACAATTTAAAAAGTAAAAGGCTCGTTATGTATTTATATTGAAACTTATACGTATAACCATTTTCTTTGACCAAGGAAGGACAGTGTCCTTGTAAGCAAGGCGCCTAGCCTCGCAAGACCAGGCGCCTTGACATTGAGGAACACCCTTAGAGCCGCTCCCATGCAGTTTAGACCTGATTTTTATGGTTATATGTAACAAAGCCGCCAATATTTTTCAACAACTGTGCATCATTTCATTCATTTTCAACAACATTTTGATGGATATTTCCAGAAATTAATGGTAAAAACTACACATTGTCTCTTTAATAGAACAAGTGTTATTTCAACTGCAAAGCCCTTACTTATGAAGTGTATAATAGGCATTCCAATAAAATTTGAATAAAATTCAATAAATCAACAAAAGACAAATTTTTCAAATACAAAAAGATGTTTTATTTATTTATTTATTTTTTACTTTTTTGCCATTCTAAGCACATGGTTAACCCTCTGGAGGCAGGCGTTGCAGATTTGCAACAGTTAAAACCTACCTACCAGGTTACTCCACATACGTATTTCATGAGCATTTTTTAACTTAGAAGTACTCCTGAAGGACTTAGTTGTTCATCCTTTTATCAAAACTTATTTTGAGCCTGAGAGGGTTAAAAAAAAAAGCTGGAACAGCATAAATAACAGAAAAAAGTTGTTTACAAAAAATATAAACAAGTCAGAACATCTTGCAACTAATTATCAACAGAACTGTGATTATAAGGACATAAGCATTAGCAGATATAACTTGGACTCCACCACTCTAATCACCTCAGTAGTCTAAATGATTTATAAAATTTGTAGAAATGCTTGATTAAAGTGCTCTGTAGTTACCTGAAAATCAACACACAGGTGTAGGAGCATCCCAGAGAACTCGTCCGTGAAGATTTCAACACTAAACCCACAGATATAAGTTTATTATATCAATTTTCATATAAACTGTATAATTTGAGAGCTTCTGGAGTAGGTCTGGATGATATTAAAAACAGAAGCATGTCGACTAAAAAAGGTTCATATTAACCGATACCAATAATTATTGAGTTATTAACAAAATGTAGAAAATTAATTTTAAGTGCAGCCCTGGCCATTTGATGTCATTAATTTATGATAAAACAAGTTGGTTATGCTACCAGACTTGAATTCAAATCCATTCTCTGCTAATGTTTTTGTTATACTTGTAAAAACCTAAACATTGTCGTGCTGTTGAACTACAGTAACCTTTTTACGGGACATTTGCTCCACCTCTTCCTGCTGTAACATCTTGCTGTCTGTTTTTGCTTGAGAGGGGAGGGCTTGGTGATGGAGAGTAGAGGCTGACTGATATTTTAAATATTTTCTTTTTTTTTTGGCCGAAATGATAATATTTATTATTTATTTATTTATGAATAAGATTTATTGACTTATTTAATTTATATTGCAAACAGTTAGTGTTCAGTTGTCTTTCACAATCAATGTGCTGCTAAAACGTATATATATCAGCCTTAATAACCAGCATTAGATATCGGCCGTCAGCAACAAAATTATTTAAAAATCAGTATCGGCCTTAAAAAAAACCAAATCGGTTGGCCTCTAATGGAGAGTGCCTGGATCTGTGTTTTTGATTGGTTGGGAGTAAGTATTGACTCTATTAAGGTATTGATAGGCTTTAATAGAAAAAAAGGAAGAAATTTCTTACTGAACCATGTTTTCCTATTGCGTCATTGGTCTATTGATCGATATATATCGTTACTGAATTGTCCGGCCCTACTCTGGAGTCCATGATATTAAACATTTGTACAATAAGACATCTGAGTTGTTCCGGTTGCCTTTATTGAATTCCTTTTTTACACAGCAGCAATTGCCCCAGCTCATTTCCTAACATTAGTACAAAAATGTGTCCTACAAAAGGAGCATTAATCAGACGTTACGGAGCGAAGTGGTGGGTGCAGACATGTTGGAATCAGAAATGAACAGGCAGATTTTACACATAAATGATGAGAACACTACAGGTGAGTGTTTCGAATGTTGAGAAGATTTCATGCTACTGCGAAGATCTAAACGTACAATTAACTCTGAATATTGTTCTCAAACAAGTTTACAGTGCATGGACTTTATTGGAAATAAAAGTGTTAAACACACCATACATAACTGGGGAAAGGCTAAAGCAACCTCATGATTCAGTTCTCAGACTTACGGCTGATTAGAGCAGGTTTAAAATATAGATTTAATCCTAATGCATGTTTGTATTCTTTGTGCGAATCTGACAGAAGACATGGATGAGTGTGTCCACGTCCATCCAATCCTGAAACAATAATTTGTGTGGAGTATTTTTAACCAAACAAAACAACACAAATAAACAAGACAAACAAAGCTCATGAGGTAAACAAAACCTTCTCATGGCACCGTTCTTGCACAGAATACACCTTCCTGCTACAGCTTTATATTAACCTCTGCAAAACACATGACTGCAGTTTTATAATCACCTCTCTTGGCGTTTTAATTTCCATTGTTCAAATTTTAACAATAAGAATAATTATATTAATAATTGCAGAAGTGGCTCATCAAAACAGAAAAACAAAGCAGTAACCACCCTTTTGACCTATCACTTTCGTAAACAAACAAATGTCAAAGCCCCGCCCCCCAGGGTGTCAGTCATCAGGCTCTTTCCCTCCAGTCTCCATTCAGAGGCCCACTTATGCAAACGGGCTGAGCAGTTCCTGAGCTTATAACTCCTCTTTGAGTTTAGAGTCTGTGCCTTCATCTTCCTCCTCTTCCTCCTCCTCCTCTTCAGGCTCCTCTCCTTCCTCCTCCTCCTCCTCTTCCTCCTCCTCCTTCTCCTCCTCCTCCTCATCTTCCTCCTTTGCCTCCTCTCGTCTCTTGTCCTCCTCCTCGCGGTTTTTACGATCTTCTTCCTCTTGGGCTTCCTTCATTTTTCTCTCAGCATCCTGAAGGAACAAACAAAAAAGTTCATAAATTCATTTAAACTTGGAGGAGTGGCTTACAGCAGTCATCCTCAGGCTGAAAAAGAAACAAAGTGATCTTTTACATAACGTCTCTCAGGATAACAAATCATGAGACGCTTCACAAGAACAAAAAAGTTTAATATAAAAAGTTTTTTTAAATGATTAAAAATATGGTTAAAATGAAGAAAAAAAATCTAAAATTGTGATTAAAAATGTAAAGAAAGAGAAAGAGAAAATGAACAGGAAAGAGGGAAATCAGTGGATCCCGGGAAAAAAAGAATAAAATGAGGAGAGAGTGGTGATGAAGGCCACGCAAAAGCCAGCTTTAACAAGTGAGTTTTCAGCTGCAAAAAAGGATGCAAGAGCAGAGTTAGCTACCTTAGTTTTACCCCAGGTATCGTCGCCCACTTCTTCAGCCAGTTTTGGATCATTGGTGATAAGGAAGTTATCAAAAATGGTGCCAGACTTGACCTTCACGCAAAACACAAAAAGCAGCAATGCATGTTAACTGTTTAATGTGAAGACACATGTCATATAAAGGAAGTGGATCCCTCAAACCTAAGCCCGAAAAGGTGACAAGATTCATCTCCTGAGCACCTACCTGCCACAGATCAAGCCCAATCACACCGATGCTGCTGTACTTGTAGATCTCAGAGTCAGCCGTGTACTCTGGGTTGTCAATCTCAGGGTGGACCCACTTTCCTTTGTAAGCAGGGTTATCAATCTCTCTGGGCTTCCACTCGCCCTGCAGAAAATGGGTAGAAATAGAAAACTACCTTTATATCAGAATTTGTTTCAGATGAAACAATGTTAATCTGGAACAATCGTGTTTGCTAACGGAGAACGAGAATGCTCGTTGTGTTTTATAAGGGCCAGAGAGCCGCTTTGTTGCTTTTATACTAAATTAATATAATTAAAACACCTGCATTCTCCGTAATAACACTGATGAAGGTATTATTAAATAATCTGAAAACAAACTGTTGGAGAGAAAATAAAAGAGAGTCTGACAGAATGTTATGATCACGTGTTGTGTACCTTATAATCAGGGTTGGTAACCATCGGTGGCTCCCACTCTCCATCCATCTCCTCATCCCAGTCATCGGGCTTTTTAGCATCAGGATCTGGGATGTTCTCGGGCTTGTCCCAGTCCTAGAAAACCCAGACCCAAGTTTAAAGACGTGTGATGCGATTTTCTTCCAACTTCGCCACCTAAAGCGTTTAAAAACCATCTCTAAGAGACCGCACTTGGAATCTGTTATCCACGCATTTATCCCCTCAAAACTAAATTATGCTAACTCTGTCATCATTATGTGCCGTTTTTCTTCCTTAACTTGGTTTACATGCATTTCTATTTTTATGTATTTTCTTGATTTTGCTCCCTGTTTATGTGACTGCATCTGAATCTTGTCATTTTACTTTTCCAGTGCCCCTTTTCTGTGCAACACACCATTCCATCAGTTTCCCATTTTTGCAGTGATAAATGACACCAACCTCTGGCTTCTTATCGTCAGGATCTGGAATCTTCTCCCTGTCGTCCCAGTCCTCTGGCTTTTTGGCCTCTGGGTCTTTAATCTTTTTGGGGGGCAGGAAGTCCCAGTCATCCTCCAGATTGCCTGACTCCACCTTCTTATTGTCGATTTTCACCTCGTAAGTGTTGTCAGGATTGACGATCAGTGTGTACAAGTGGGAATACTCATCATCCTGCAAGGGAAAGGTGATGGTTTCAAACAGGTTAGAACTTCAGACAAAGACCTTTAGCATTGAAATGTACTTTTCTTGTTTATTTCAAAGCACTCCTTTCAAAAATCAATCCGAGCAAGCTTGTATAAATTTTGTGAAAGGAGAGAAGAAGATGGAAATAAATAAAACTGGATTTTACTTTTACCTGAACAAATGTAAAATAAATAATGCTACCTTGCACCGGATGTCCTTGTTAATCAAATGGTTTTTGCCTTTGTAGTTAAAGATCACGTGGACTTTCTTAGTGCCTGGACCACAAATATCAGGACCTGAGTAAAGAAAAAAATATCAACAAGAAGAAATGTTGCAAGTTATGACTTCATCTACCAAACTGGTGAAGCAAAATCTGTGTATATCCAAAAGGGACAAATTTATCAGAATTCAGACGTATGCAAATGTGTAAGTTAAACTAGTACTAAATTACTTTATCATATCTATGCATCTGTTGTTCAGATCTCAGTAAAACTCTTAACGCCTACCAAACATGATGTTGTAGACAGAGTCTCCGTGCATGTTCTCCTGGTTGAGTTCAGAGGGGAACAGTTTGATGTAGCCTCCACCACAGTCAATGCTCTGCTCGTGTTTCACAGTGAACTGGATGACTAAAGGCTGGCCCTTGTTACTGAAGTCATCGAAACGGGCTGACAGAGCATAAAAGCGGGCATCCTGGCTCGTCTGCAGACCTGCAGTACAACACGATCTTACACTGGGTCCAGCTCAAGCAAGGGTTTTAAAAACAACATAATTTTTTTTTACTTAGTCACTTTTTAAATGAACCAATTGGGATGATGAACAATAATAATCTGCTTATCTTCAACTCTCTGACTGATCGTGGAGCTTTGTGGCCAAGAAAATGTAAATAAACCTCTGCTCTCACCTTTGTCTTTTTCCACGTCCCCATAAAATTTCCCTGCAGACAGGACGAACTTGCCATAGTCTGACTTGTGTTTGGATTCCACCCAGCGACTCTTCCAGCCATCTGCACACACAAGCTCAGGTTCAGCTGCACAGAAATCACATCACACTCACTCACTCACTCACTCACACACAATTCTCTGATGATGCATGAGTGCAGGTGCATCTTGTTACTCCTCTGAGTGACTTCATGTCCTCGCAGAGGAAGGATGCCGCTAGCAGTAAATGGGTGTGCAGTGGGGGGGGGGGGGGGGGGGGGGGGGGAGTTCTGATAAGGGTGGGTGACAGCTGGGGGTGGGAAACAGACGGAATGGAGAAGGATCCAGGGGGACCAAAGATAGACGTCTTCTCTTCAGGCTCATCGATGAACAGACGATCCATTCAAGATATTGTGTTAATTACCCATGCTAACCACTTAGCATCTTGTTGAATTCAGCACGTATTCACCGCCATCAAACATGACAGCTTACATTCGTCACAAAATAGCAGCAAACAATAATTTCACGATAGAAATCTCACCGGAGTCCTCAAACTGCTCTCGGAAGTGCACAGTGGACTCGGCCAGAACAGATGCAGCCGACACCGCCATCAAAATCAGCGACAACGTTGTCATGGTGACGAGCTAAAAGGTCCAGCCCAGGAAAAAAAAGCTACCAAACAGCAAAACAAAGACACCTATACGTGAAGATCTCTATATATCTACACGGCACGGCAGCGGAGTTCGGTCCGAGTCTCATGCGGTCACGGTACAGAGCGAGCCACAGCGCCGCGAAGGTCCAGTCGCTCTCCTCTCGGCTCAGAACAGATGTCTGAATCTGATTGGACGCCGGCTGAAAACCTCAACAAGGAACAGTTGAAGCGCTCAGCCAATCAGGAAAGAGGAAATCTGGATGGTAATTTCTCCAGCCAACGGGAGGAGACCACGCGTTTGCTTAGTACACACCCAAGAAAGGACGATGCTCAAGGATGGAGCGCATAAAAATGACTAAATAAAATATTAAATAAAGCAGTGGGTGGATGAATTCATGTTAGATATGATGTCCAGATACTAGTAATTAAACTGGTGTTTAGACGTTTTAATAGTTTATATGTTTGAAAACGTGGAATAAACGAAATCATGTACAGGTGATCATTGCAGGGCAAACCATGCCTCTTATTGAAATCCAATCAGTACTGGCAGAATATTTACACATTACTTGCTTAAATATGCAGAATAATATATGTGCACTTCTTATTCATAGCAAAAACAAGCACTGGTTTTATTGTTTATTATTTTTTCCCATATCTTGCTTAATTTCACACTTTCATACTATAATGGTGAACAACAGTTTGGCGAGTGAATAAAAATGTTTGTAACTGTAAAACAATCATGTGTTTTAATAAAATGTAGACTTACAGAACCCCAAAGTACTTTTGTAACAATTTAAGTAACATTTTCCATCCTTATTATTGCACATAAACTGTTTAAACAACACAATTCCCCTTAATCCTCATCCCAATCCTGTGACACAAAATGTCATTGTGTAAGTGAGACAACATCTAAAGGATAAATTAAAGACAAGTGTGATCCCATCTTTGGGTAAAGAGTACTTTATGTAGTGAAAAGTGCTGTGCAACATGGTCTAATGTCTATTTTATAGTTTAGAGTGTATTTAAACCGATCCACAAACATCATCTGGCACCTGAAAATGTTCAAGTACAGCACATGATTTCACTAAATACCCACTGCTAACTAAAGCACATACTCTACTGAATCATAACAAAACAGCACAACTAATATTTATGACGGTGAAAAACAGTGTACTAGAAATGAACGAGTGATGATAGTGCACTTTCTTCATGATTCATCAAACCAAGCAGGTGAGGGTACAGCAGCACGTATCACATGAAGACCGTTTGCAGTAAACATGTTTCCTGTGACACTGCTGATCCCTGCAGGATTGTTGGTTCCACGTCTCACATTAGATCTGTCTCGCTGCCTGCTCGTCTCTGAGGGACCTGGACAGACATGCCTTTTATCTGTGTGAGGAGAAGGCGGCACACAGAGCAAGGAGGACACATCTCCTATATGGCTCAGTACGCAGACGGGCTTTTAAAGCAATCGAACACCTCCTCCAGGTCGCCATCTCCACATGTGTCTCCACATCTATGGGAGGAAGAAGTTGATCCTCTGCGGTATGGACTTGCATCCTTGGGCTGAGAACAGTCTCTCCTCCTTGGGGACATACAGCATTGCCTTGGCCACCTCATCCAGCGTTGCCTCATCCGTCTCGAGACCCCAGGCTATGTAGGCATCTCGTGCACAGAGTTTTACATGTCGATACTCCAGAGGAAGAAACGGCACATAGAAATCAATTAGGTGACCTGACATGAGCGCACTCTGGGCAAACCCACCTGAATGGCACAGAAAGAAACTTTATTACTCAAAGTGACATAACAGATAAGAGAAATAAACAAAACCTGCTCACTTTGCCCTCATCTTGTGACTCCATAGTTTCAGCTCGAAGTCGATGTTCCAGATCTTCCATACCGATGTCCTCTCGATTCTGACCAGAGTGCCAGAAGTCCAGCGCGACGTCGTTGATCGCTGCACCGCCAATGTTGCTGGAGTGATAACAGACAATTCTTCTGTTAAAAGCTGCAGTCTCACTGAAGCTGTTTTACACACATTTTTAGTTTTCACACTGTTTTATTCTAATAAAAATATATATATAAAACTTTTGTTATGTTTGACTAAAAGTTTTTTCTTCAAAAACCTGACATGAGTCATTTAGGAGAAGAAAACTCTATAAATAAGGCCAACGGTGACAGACCCATCCATCATCACTTGTGAGATGTCACAACAGAAATCCAGAGGTGTGAGCTGAGGTGTGTGTGAGACCCAGATTCAACCTGAGGAAGAGGAAGATGGCTCTACGGTAGGTGACTCCATCCACGTTGTCATAGTGATCCATGTAGGGCTTGATAGCATCAATGAGTCCTGGGTGGAGCTTTTCAGCCTCGTCGAAGATGAACAGCGTCTGTGGGCAGCGCAGCACCATGTCTCGGATGGCCTCCCTCAGCTGGCCCTGGATACGGAGAAGAGGAGCTGATTCATCAGTAAAAGAAAAGGAAATCAAATAAATCAAGACTCAGATCTGACACTAATCAGATTTTATTCATGGTAAATATGCATGTTTTAGGTGATGTGTCTTTAGATATTTAAAAAAAAACAATACACGAAAAAAATAAACATACAAAGTTCAGTAATAAAAATGAGGCAATCATCTTTCTGTAATTTTCAGTCGTGATACAGGAACAAATCTTAATAAAAAATGATATAAAACACTTTTTTACATTATTTATGAAACTCCAATTAAAAACAGTAACCATTAAAATTATTAACTGGTATATTTTTGTGCAACATTACTACTTAAACAGCATTATGAAACCTCTCAAAGTGATTGTGTAAAACTGAGGGGACCAAGCTGATACCTGCGGCCTGGTTGGATAAACGCCAGGTTCCAAACATCCATGTATACCATCCACGTATGCTCGGTTACAACATTAGGACTAAACATCTGACTGAGCACACAGGCTCAGTCCCAAGAGCACATTCACCATGTTCTTGGCATGCTCTGACCAGCTCCCTGCCAAGTGGGCTCTGCGTGTCTCACCTTGTACGTGTCCACCAGCCTGGCGTGTGGGAAGTGGAACGGGGCGATAAACAAACGAACGCACTCGCTCTTCACCCCGTCCCGGTACAGGTTATCGGCGATAATCCGGGCCACGAAGTTCTTTCCAGTTCCGGACCAGCCGTGAAATGAGAGCGTCAGAGGCTTGTTGGACTCCGGGCTGTTGATGAAACCTTGCACGGCTTTAAGAACCACAGACTGGGCCAGGTGCTGACCATGAAGCTTGGTCCGAAGGTCCTTGGCCAAACCTGAACAGCGACAACACAAACACACAATAAACAACTCTGCCTGCCTTTAACAAAGTTCGACAATGGGTTTGATAAAAGAATTTGATGCTGAAATGTAAAGAGAAAAGCACAGGCGCTCCTAATTCTGGTGTCATGGTCATCCTGCAACGACGGCACAATTAAAATACACAAATAAATTTAGATCTAATTAAAAATACAAATTATTTTCAAATTTAAGAATCAGAACAAAGACAAAGTTAAAGGCTGAGCATTTACAGCGCATCATATGGAAATATTCATTCAAAGGGTGAAGAATACATGAAAGTTGTCAATTTTGATTTAAAAGTCACTAGAGTTGGGGCACATTTGAGGTCACAAGTAAGCTGATTCCATCTGTGTGCAGCATAGTAGCTAAAAGCAGCTTCACCCTGTTCAGTTCTACCAGCTGACTGCTTCCTACGGATCTCAGCGCCCTGCTGGGTGTTCTGGCTCCATGCCCCTGAGTGATTTATAAACTAGTAGAAGCACTTTGAAATTGATTCTGTAGTTTACTGGTAACGCCTTCTCCAAATCCACAAAACATATGTAGACTGGTTGGGCAAATTCTCACGCACCCTCCAGGATCCCCCTAAGGGTATAGAGCATCAGCAACCCGATGGACCCTCCTCTCCAGAACCCCTGAATAGACCTTACCAGGAAGGCTCTGGAGTGTGATCCCCCTGTAGTTGGAACACATCCTGCGGTCCCCCTTTTTAAACAAGGGGACCACCACCCCGGTCTGCCAGTCCAGTGGGACTGCTCCCGATGTCCACGCGATATTGCAGAGCTGCATCAGCCAACACAGCCCCACAACATCCAGAGCCTTAAGGAACTCTGGGCAGATCTCATCCACCCCTGGAGCCTTGCCACAGAGGAGCTTTTAAACCACCTCAGTGACCTCAGCACCAGAGATTTGAGAGGCCAACCCAAAGTCCCCAGACTCTGCTTCCTCACTGGAAGACGTGTCGGTGGGATTGAGGAGATCTTCGAAGTATTCTGCCCACCGATCCACAACGCCCTGAAGTAGAGGTCAGCAGCACACCGTCTCCCCACTATAGTGTTGGTAGCACACTGCCAACATTATCTGGGTTAAAAATTATATTAGTTGATTTTATTATCACAAAACAGTTTTAAAGTGACCACCACTGATAAGAAATCACACATTTGCACTAGAGACTGAAGCAGCAAAACGGCTACAAGGCTAATCAATTTTCCAGAAGAAAAAAAAACTAAACAAAAAAAACCTTTCAGCTCAATTTCTCCTCTGTGGAGAAAGAATCAATACAATCAAACATTTTCTGGTTCTTTGTCATGGATGTTCAGAGTGTTTTGAGAAGATCCAGATCAACAAAGTATTTAAATTGAGTTCTTTGTGCTTTATCTTCCAAAGGCCAACAGGCAAGGAGTTACCTGTGATGTTGTTGGTTATCCTGCAGTCTCCAGACTCGCAGCACTGCCCCAAGCTACAGTACCACTGATGCAGCACACCCATGTAGTCCTGGGGAAAGCCTGGCCACAGCTCCCTGGTAGGAACTGACCACCACAAGACTGATATTAGATTTTATTACAACGCCACGATCATCAGATTATCTAATAATGAGTCAAGACTGAAACATGGAGGCTGTTCAGAGGAACAGCACATCGAACAAACCATCAAGCTATGCAACACTGAATCATGTTAGAATAACCGCGTTTCCGCCTCACCTTGCTGTGTGGCATCGTCCTGGTTGGGCTGACACTCCCCCTCCCATATGTTGCAGTAAATGTAATTAAAATAATAGGTAGAAACGTTACTAATGCTGTCGAAGTGGAAGAAATCGGCCTCTGCGTGTACAGCGCAGACGAGCAGCAGCAGCCACCGCGCTAACATCGGGGAGCGGTAGGAAGACACTACCCAGCGGTTCTCTCCCATTTACTTAAACCCGGCGAGTCTTTACCGGCGGGTTTCGTAGCGTGTTGCGTAGTCCTTCTGCCCTCATGTCCCAGATAAACGTAGCAGACGAGAAGCACTTGTTTTTATTACCCAATGGTGGTTAACGCCGCCCGTCCAGGAGGGGGCGGGCACTTCCGCGTTCCTAAGTCTACTTTCTTGTAGACTTCACGGTCTTTATTCCATATTTGATAAATACTGTAGAAACTTCGCCTAGTCAATTTAAATTCTACACCGTTGTAATAAAACATTTAGACCCAGCTGTAACAATTATGCCTGACCTCTTTACATTGAAGGTCGACTAGAAATCCACCGTAGCAGCATCAGAACCCTGGGCCTCGAGGGTTAATGTCCCATGTGTTTTGTTTCCTCTGCTCCAACTGGAATCGTTTTGTCCAGTATGTACAGTCTATGGCTCCAACACATTAATGTATGCATCACTGTTGGCATCCCCAACATATATTAATGTCGATGCTCCAACACGTCTGATTCAGTGGTTATATAACCTTATCAGCTGACCATAAAGCTCTAGATGCGCTCTACTGAGTTTCAGCCTCATTTTTCATGCTTCTGCTGACACCAAACCATTTAAGCTCCAGGTACTACAGGCATAACAGGCAGACTGGATGTGTCTTTTTGTAAATTGCACTATTAGGGCATGAGCTCTTCAGTGTTAAAGCTTTAGTATCAGGAGCCTCTTCTGCATCCTGCACTGACGGTCCATATTGGTGGAGTTTTTCATCTGTGCAGCAGGGGAGTTTTTGTACAGGACTTTTATTTCACAAGAACTTTAGTAACAACACATTTAGATACAATTTCAAGACTTTATTGCAATTTTTTTTTAAATCAAAATTTTATCTCAAATCTGTTTTGACAATTTGAAATGATTGACAGACATCTGCACTCCACCTCAGCACTGGAAACCTAAAAAAAATAAAAGTTTATTACAAGAGGGTGGGGTAATCAGAAGTTTAAAGTCAAAGATTTACTGACCAAACTGCCTCAGACAAAAATGGAACGGTAAGGGGTTATAATCAATGATAGTCATTTGGCAGAATCTTGTCATCACTGGCACAACAGTCTGCAGTTTAGCATCTAAAGCTATTTTCCACATTTAGACACTTACCACTTTTAGAGTCCTGAGGAAAAGAAAAAAATATAACAAAATCAATACAAGTGCATAATTTGTTGATCAAAATTTAAGTTACTGGGCTGCTCAGCAACAGATCTGTCCACATTGCAGTTCAGGTCAGACATTTGTCAAACATCACTGAACCCAAGTTTAGCCTTCCAACTTAAGACTTTCTTACCCAAGATGGTGTTCTTTGTCAAGCATCACGCATCAGTTCAGAGTGAGCCTCAACCCTAACAAGATGGTAACATTAGTCAAACAAAGACATCAGGTGGTGACATGGAGACTTCTTGCACTGACCAGATCAGCTAGAGCTAAAAACACCCTCATAGTTAAGTCAGGCTTCATACACTCATCACATAGGCCAGAGTTCAGATGAGGCTCCAGTAATTGTGACCTTCTCACCCAGGTGAACCACTCTCTTCTGGTCACCTGGGCCTAACATGCCAAGAAAGTAATTTACAAACTCACCGTCAACCAACATCAAGGTCGATTTCTGGTCTCCCCCCAACACGTGCTGTGAATAACCAAATGTCACTTTAGTCGATAATTTAATACAATGCCTAATTTACAAACAGAAGGCTCAGATCAGAATAATTGACTAATTTCCTCAACTGGATCAGCGACCTGATTCAAACTCATCCCATCTGACAGCCATAACTCAGAATGACTAGATAAACATGCTTACCATCACAGCCGATTTCTATCCCGAGGTGCAGGTGCCTGGGGTGAGGTGGAGAGATCTAATTAATAGTCTTTTACAATTCAGGCAAAAGCAGACAGCTGCAGTTGACAGATCAGATAGGAGCGAAAGACGTGATATTCTTCACGGTAAATCTGCTGAACTATGCACTCATCACCTCCGTGTTGAGCATTATTGTAATAAAAAAGTATTAATCTCACCTTCCACATTGACCGCTAGAAGATCTGAAACATAAAACAAAGTCGTAAGAACCCCTCAACTGTTACATTACTACAGCAGCCAGGGAGACTGACATCAGATAGGAGCGAAAGACGTGATATTCTTCACGGTAAATCTGCTGAACTATGCACTCATCATTGTGTCATGCTTTACTTTACACACTGCAGTTCAAACAGACGTACCTGCATTTGATTTTAGTTTAAAAACCAGAAGAAAAGCACACCAAAGCCACCTGCAGGACGAAAAGAGAATTTAACAAAAGCCAAGACTATAAATTCAAGTGTGCAGCCTTTGAAACTGCATCAGAGCAAAGTCATCTTTCATTCTTTTTCAGAGAGATTCCCATTGCTTTTAACATAATCATCACTGACAGTTTTGTCAATAGACCACTACAAAACAAATTGTTAATTACCTGCGAGTAGGTCAGCTTTGATCAGAGTCGAATCTGCAAAGGGAATAGATGAAATTAAAATCTTAAAAAAAAAACCTGTTTAACCTGCAAAGGCAGATTTTTTTAAGTGCCTCAGATCAAATGATGAAGGTGGTTACAAGTCATCATCCAGCCCGTCAAGAGTAGCAAATATTGGTCATCACTGCAGCACAGATGTCATTAAGCAGATTAATGCTTCCTGAGGAGTCTGAATAAAGTGGTTGTACGTTTCTTTAAAACTAGAGGGTTGTCCTTTAAGTAAAGGGTTTCTAGCTACACACCACATGGACAGGAAACACCTCAGGAAGACAAACCCACTTGCACACTTAAAGAGATGACCTTACCTTTATTCTACTGGTCCTTCAAGTATCCAGCTGTTGAAACCCTGCAGAAACATTTCTCATTAGCACGCTACAGATTTTATTTAAATAAAATGCATCAATAACAAAAGCCTCATTTATAAAATCCTCAGAAATCTTTTCTGACCACTACTCTTATAGAATTTAATCATTGACTTTTCAGCATTAAAATAAGCAGTTTATTAATCCAACTCACCTGCATAGCAAAAGCTGATCTTTAAACGTAAGTATGTCCATCTGAACCTAAGGACGAAATATATTTTAATCCCGTGATGACTATATTGCAGTAAGACAATAAAACAGACCACTTTTAAACCTAGGAATGTGTATACAACCTAAGGACAACCATGGTGTGTGCAGCTAAAATAACCGGCCTGCACCACCTTTAAGTTATTCCATGGAGTCAGGGGTGTTGGATTTTCATCACATTCATTCAGATGTCCCTACCAACACATGTTTCATCATGTAACCATGGAACTAGTTAATTCAAGGCAGCTATGCTCCTGTAAGTCAAGAACAGCACGAAAAGCTAGCTAGCGCCACGGCTAATGAGCACGTGGTTGAAGGCCTGCTGTAATTCATTCAGATAACCCGTTAAAAGTTAACGATGCGTGGCTACTTATTGACAAATAATAAACTCACATAAGTCAAACTGGAGAACAGTAAAATAAAGAAGCGCTAAAAATCATCCGATAAAACCAACATGAGTTACCTGGTAAAGGAGAGCGAAGTGAGATCGAGAAGAGTGCGCAGAAGGTTTTTATAGACTGTCGCGCAAAGGCTTATGGGAAGAAAAAGAGGGTTAGCGACCCCTACTGGCCAAACCGATAACGTATTATCCTTCATAACAAAATGGGGCCTTCTCCTGCATCTATTTTATTCGACCCTAAATTAATATTTACTTCCTTTGTGGGTTTTGACCTTTTTTTATACCTAAATGGCCACAGACATTCACAAAATGTATCAGATGTATTTGATTTGGACCATTTCACAAGCACTTTGTGTTTATAGGAAAGATGAACAACTAAACCTCACTTTGATTAAGACTTGAAAACATATATAGAACCATAACCTGATTAAATAACACAAAAGTTCTTATTTTAATCAATTAATCAACTACTGATCAATAAAAAAAATGTATAAAGATAAAATGCTAAAATCGTATGAGTTAGTGAGTTGAGGATGGAGGATTAATTTTTTAGTAGTGATATTATTTGTGGAAGACAGAGAGCGGTTTATTTTTTGTGTATAAGGCTATTTTGTACTCTTTATTTATTTGGTCTTAGTTAAAGGGGGTAGGCCATATAAGATTTTTTTCTTCTTCCTCCCCCTATTTCACTTGAATGCTTATATTCTAATTTGAAGTTTGTATATTTAAACTTTGAGTGAAATAAATTATTGAATTGAAATAGTTTCAAAACCCTGCTGCTCAAGAGGGCAGCTTTTGAAATTAAATGTGAAATAAGAGCACACAGAAATGTCTTTTCATATAGATGAATGCTTATGCACGAAAACCAGATACCATAAATATTTGACTTTTTAAAATCTTAATTCTTATTTTTCTCCCATTTTATAAATTTTTTAAATCTTTTTTTGTTATTTTTTGTGAAACACCATGATTTATATAGCTCTAAATAACAACTCTTTTTTTCTTCTTCTTAAAGGCATGCAGCTGTATTCACCTGTAGTGACATCTATGGAGTGCCCCATCCAAAAGACAAGTCATCCCAGGAATTACCTCAAGGAGATTTAATTTTATGCATCAATAAACAGGAGAATTGGATACAATCAATGGCTATGATAAGGAAATAAAAATACATTTGTTTTGATTTGCTCTCTATCAGGCAATACTGAGATATACTGAAATGAATGGCAAGGCCTCTGTTTAATAGGTCGTACTCGTACAAAAGACAGAACATCGAGGGGAAATAAAACAAAACCCTGGCTTCAGATGTATTTGATTTGGACCATTTCACAAGCACTTTGTGTTTATAGGAAAGATGAACAACTAAACCTCACTTTGATTAAGACTTGAAAACATATATAGATCCATAACCTGATTAAATAACACAAAAGTTCTCATTTTAATCAATTAAAGGGCAATAAAGAATAATAAAACAAGAATAAGATAATAAATTGGTTTAAGCTCATTGTATCAAGTGAACCCTTTTAAAAATATATATCTACAGGTAACTCAGATTTCATTGGTGTTAGATTCAACGTGTTACTTCCAAACAAAAATATTAAGTGATGGTTAAAAAAAAGGGGGAGTCCAGCAGGTAAAAATAGCCTTTTGTGGTAGGTAACTTTGTAAAAAATAATATATGAACCTATATATCTCTATATATCTAGACAGATATATAGAGATAATTACAAAATGACATTTTGGAGTAATTTAAACACAGTTTTGACTTTAGGGGGACTTTGAAACCACTGCTGTGTTCTGGTTGCTTTCTGGTGAGAAATAAAACAAGAACAAGGATATGCAGAACGTAAGACTGTTTTAACGCTAATCGTGGAAGTGGTGTGCAGAAAAACAAAAAAAAAAAACATGTAAACAATCATTTTGTTCATAGATGCCTTCGGTTAACACGGAGAAGACCATTCACCCTCCAGCTGAAACTCCCTTTAGCTTTTTCTTCCAAACCTCATTTTTGGCATACCCGACAGCAAAGCTTCAAACTGAATTGCATATGTTCTTATTAAATAGATCTCCCATCTGATATCCAGTGTGTTTAGATGCCATGGCTGATGTAGGACTTTGCTTCTGGTTCAGGTCGACGCTTAAGACACAAACTCATGTGAATGAGCACAAAAAAGGCCAAAATAACTAAAACATCAAGGCTAAATGGAATGATTCCTAAAGATGTAAAGCCATCAAGTTCATATCTCTAACAGTTTCACACTATTGCCAGAAAAGAAACATTCAAAATAAAAAAGAATATATATTTATATTTCCACCATATGTATATCTATGTATAAACATCGGCTTTAAGCAGAGAACTTCTCTCCCACCCCTCAACGATTCATCTGCTCGTCTGTTATAAGGCTGTCAGACTGCGGGAGGGGGCAGCAGCCTCATCTTTCCTCAGTCACCAGATTCCCTGAGATGTAGAGCGCCGTCTTATTCACCAAGATGGACTTAAATTGTACACCATCAACCACAAATCTTCTTGCTCCCCCTCCTGAAATACCAAAGGAAAACAAGTGCTGCTCTGGATCGTCTTGTGTTCTGTCGACGGGTGATTGTGGAGCTGACGGAGGGAGTCGGGAGCCATCGACTCTGCGCTGCAGTCTCATATTGGGAGGTGGCTGGTTTCAGGGGCCAGCAGAGATGAAATTACCCAGATATGAAGAAAAGATTTACTAATATTCAGGTTACATCGTTGATGCTTTCATTCATTTTTTTAAGTCAAATGCAAAGCAGTGTACATGTTCAATCAGTCATCCCAAGGCTTGGATAAGAAGTGGTTTATGCAAAAGAGTTCTTATAAAGACTCTTGCGTGTGCACATTTCTTTTTGCACATGTTTGTGTCCATCAGCGTGCTGTGGTCTTCTCAGTGCCTCTGGGAGGCCAATCTATTTAAAAGCGGCTCATCGTAGATCCAGCACTCCCCGTCCTCGTGGAAAAGCTAAAGAAACGACAAAAATTCACACCAGGTTAATTATAAATGATTGTTAAAGAAACGAAAACAAGACTACAGCTGAAAAAAATTGAGTTTTATTATTTATTTTTGTACGGCACTAGCTGTTTTCCCACCAGGGCTGGGTCGGTCCCGCCCAGGTAAGGTATTAACTGTTCACATCTGGGTAGCCTGGGTTTTTTTCTGCTCACTTCCCAAGGTGGTCTGCTTCGGTCTGAACTAACCCAACACACCCACTGCCAACTGATTGGCCGACTCAAATTCATGCCTATCATTAGGGGGAGCCTCTGACTGGCAGGTAGAATCAGCCAGCAGGGGGCTTCCTGCATGCGCAATTCATTATTCTGGATGCTGAGAAGTATACATCGTCTCTGACTGAAACCACCCCCATCTCTTTTCTTCTGTTTCTCTCTCACTGAGATGTGCTGTGAGGCATGTGCATGAGCACGCACACACACACAAACTAGGCTTTACAAGAGTGTGTGAACAAACCCTATTGGTGCGGGACTCGGACCGACGCCACCCAGCCCGGACTGGACCAGGCAGCATTTCACAAAGAGCATGTAGGTATTTCTAAGTGAAAAGATGTGTGTTATGGTGCCTACACATTAGCGGCGGCACGGTTGGGTACGGGACTGGTATTTGGTTTCACACATGGGTCAGGTATGCGTTCAAGTCTGAGCCAGCTCTTTCTTTCAGACCTCCTCCTCAGCGGCCCGACTGGGATCGAGGTGACACTACATACTGATTGGCTGGCTGAAATTACGCCCATCACCACCGACTAGCGAGTAGAATGAGCCAGTGGGGGTGTGGGGGGTGTTCCCGCATGCACGATTCATTTTCATTCTGGATGTTATTAAGTACACTTCTCTGTCTGTAGCACGGAGCTGCTGCTCAGTGGGAACAGGGGAAAAGAGAGAGAGAGAGAGCTGTGTGTGTGTCCCTGTCCTCTTATCGGAGCTCTTGCCCCAATGAGCCGATAGGACAGCTGCTCAGAGGAGAAAGCTCTGTGTGTGTGTGTGTGTGTGTGTGTGTGTGTGCGTGCGTGGGTGGCCCTCCCCAGACTGCACCGACGCTAATGTATAAGTGACATAGTGTCCTGTTAATGTGGTCCAGAAGCCTCACCCTGGTCTCCCACTGCTGCTCCTTCTCTTTCCTCTCTCTGGCTTCGGCTCTTTGCTTCTCCTCCAGCCGGTGTTTGGCTTCTGTTGCTGCTTCGATGTCTTTTAGCTTCAGGTTCACAGTCACATCTCTCCATAATCTAGTGCAACAGAATCAGATGTCTTTCATTTTAGGTTGAATTTGATTCAAGAATTTATTGAGGACCGTTAATGTGGGTAAAGATTCTTCTCTCACCTTCGAGACTCGTACTCTAGCTGGTCCTCCAGCTTCCTCACTTTCTTCTTAATGATGCCAATTTTCTTAGTGTCAATGAACAATGTGTTTTCCTGAAATCACAGTAGAAGTATGTGTTAATTACTCCCTGACAGGATGCAAAATCTACTAAACACAATGGGTGTTTCTCAATGCCTGGGAACCTCGCCTTGATGAACTTGGTCCCACTCCAATTGCCGAGGAGATACGTCATTCGGAACCGCCAAGGCTGGTTCCAATGTTCATGTGCTACGTTTGTCTGCCGTTTAGCTAACTGACCAAGGATACATGGGAGGAGCCTTGTTGTCTTCTCAGAATACAGCGCAGTATTTTCAAAAGGATGGCGGATCAGAAGCTGGCAGCAGCAACTTCGGAGGAAAATTTCCAATTTAAATCCAAGTCAACTAATTGTAGCCATCGGCTGTTAGTTATGGTTGGTTAGTTGCTTAGTAGTTGCAGCTTTGGTGGCTAGCAGGTACTAACTCGCTTACACATTTAATTTGACCATTATATACATAATTTAAAAAGTAAAAGGCTCGTTATACATTTATATTGAAACTTATACGTATAAATATAAGTTTACCTCACGTGTCCCATGACACGAAGGACAGTGTCCTCATAATCAAGGTGCCTGACGTAAGGCACCTTGACATTGAGAAACACCCAGTGTCTCAGAATATCAGAAATCACATAACATTTAATGCTGGTGTTGATTCATTCTGCCTTTGCTTTAGTTACGAGGTAGAGCATGGCATGGCACGGTATGGTAGGGTGTAGTATCGTAGAACACTATACTACTAGCCTTGGTATCTAGACAAACCATAGCAGTAGCTAAAGATTTTGTTCTGCAGGACAGTCTAGCCACGCTTCATTGTAGCTTCAACAAATCTACCATTGGCTCGGCTAAGTATGGGCTGGGCCAATCACAGTGCTCCATGTTTGTAGTGAGATGCTGGATGGACTTAGCACCATTACAGCAGAGCTGCTTTTTTAAAAACGAAAATGGCACAGCTTTGATGGAACAAAGCAAAAAAAAAAAAAAAAAAAAAAAAAAAAAAAAAATATATATATATATATATATATATATATATATGTATATATAGCGCTGGTTAGGATTGGCGTTGGCATCAAATTTGAACAATTTAGACATGGACCTTTCTCAGAGGTAAATCTTTGACCTTATATGGCAAACTGCCCCCACTGACTGATTTTTATAGTGATGAATATATCACATTGTCCATTGCTCTGATTGGTCCCAGTGCTGTCCAAATGCACCCAGAGACGGTTTGAAAGACAACAGTAGATTCTACCTTAACTGAGTCTATGGGTAATGACCAGACTATACATTTACATAAATAGGATGGCTTGCACTCCTGGAGAGCAAATTTAATTATTTTAGTGTGCTACATTCTTGCCAAAGTACTAAAGACAATCTTAAAGAAAGAAGAAATAAAGTGCTTACTCCAGTCGCCCATTTGGCAAACATCACTCCATTCCACTCTCCTTCAATGGAGCAGAAGGACTTCTTGTCGTTTGGTGAACTGCAAAGTAAAACAAACTAATGTTATAGAAAAGTTGGATTTCATAAATTTTAATTTCAGGCAAAATCCACTTTGATCTTACAAAATCTCTGCTGTGATCCTGTGCTTCTTCCCTCCGTAGAAGGGTTTGGTGTGGAACACGATGTTGGCACTGTAGCCCGACTTGGAGCAGGAGATGTTGCACTCCCCACCCAGCTCCACCCACGGCACCGTCAGAATCGACCTGCAGAGATGGGCTCAGGTCAACAAACAGCCCTCAGCAGTCAGAGAGCGCACGCACACGCGCACGCGCACACGCACACACACACACACACACACACACACACACACACACACACACACACACACACACACACACACACACACCTGCCATATCCGTTAGGAAAGGTGAGAATGTAATGCTCATCATGCTCCAAACACGAAACACAACCTGGAAGAAGAGCAGAGGAAACTTGTTACAGCCCCATAATGCAGAGAGGAAAAGAAAATGCGCATCTGAGGTTTACCTTGACCAATGTTGTGGACACCGATAGACATGCCGAGGAACTTTGACTTGGTCCAGATGTGCGCGTTAAACTGGATCTTCTTACTTAAACACTCTGCGTAGAATGCAGAAACTACATAGAGAAGACAGAAAACAATGAAGCAGCTTCTTTTGACCCTTCTTAAAACAAATCTGAGCCTAAGCAGGTCAAAGGTTCTGGCAGTGGAGCTGTGAAGGAGATTCTTTGGGTACTTACTGGGTGGGTGGTGAGAGACCTGCTCTGCCACAAAACTCACACTGTTGGGTGAAGACCAGGGAACTGGACCGTCTGATGCCGCCTCCTGCAGAGTCCAACAAAGCAGACATCAGAAAGGCTGTGCAATTGTGGTATTTATACAAATCCAGATGAAGATTAATAATGATAACTCATTTGTGACACGATGGCTGGATGGCAGATCTCACCGTATGTGGAGAAGGATCCTCCGTCTCAGTGGGGAGATCCCAGTGGCAGAAGAAGACTTCCCCCAGGATTGGGTTGTAGGGTTTCTTTGCCACCGAGCCTTTCCTCCCTGCGTGGAAAGCTGACAGGTACCACTTCACCACCTGCACCATGCGCTCTCTGGGCTCCGGCTGGTCAGCGATACTAGAGAACGACCCCATGCAGCAGCGTTAACAGGACACTCACACATACTATCGGGCTGAATGTAGTAAAGGAAAAAGACATACCTCACAAACAAGTCGGGATGTGCAAAGAAGTCGGCGTACATTTCTAACAAAGATCTCCTCTCTAGGATGAAGGTAGGCAGGACCACCTGTAAAATACAACAGAGACAATGTTTTCAGGTGAATGTTGGAAATCTAAAGGAAGGGTCAGTTTCAGCAGGACAGAAGCAGAAAAACAGGTGCATACTTTGGTGAGGTCCATGCCCAAGCGGACTTGAGAGAGCAGATGCATGATGACGCTCTTGTGCTCTTCCACAGACTCCCCCTCACCGTCGTCATCACGGTCGTCATGGCTGTCAAACGGATCTAAAAACAGCAGCACAGGCCTCATGCAGTTGGTGAGTCGTGGCTGTGTGGTTACATCTCGTGTTTCGCAGAGAGAAACAGCAAAACATTTTCCTCTCCTTTTGTACTTTTAGGAAATTCTGAATAAAATAAGGCTCAATTAACTTTTGAGATCCATGAACGTCTGGTTTATATCACCTCTAACCTCTACTATCCATTCCATTCACGTGATATTTTCCCCCTTTTCTCTGTAGAAGATGATAACGACAGATCAACTTTCATTGCGACTTTTCAAGTAAAAAGGAACTTTTTCCTTCGCTTTCCTTTAACATTTGTCTTTCGAAGATGGTTTTGACCTGCTGGTACTAAGAAACGTACATTCTGACCTTCATATCCAAGACGTTCATTCATCACAAACGGCCACAATAATGAGTGTTTTCACCTGCGTCTGTGGTGCCGTTGGACATGGATGAGTTGAGGGACTCGGTGGTGTTGGGCCGCTTCAACGTTGTCTCGTCATTAGCAGCAGGTGAGGCGGCGGGGGGTCCTGAGGAGCTGGGGCGGGGTGTAAAACAGGAGAGTTAGAGAGAAAAGTAGAAGATGGGAGGATAAAGGAGTTAAAAGTACATTAAAACTTTGTAGTGAGCTGCTTATGCAGGTGGATTTTATGCACTCTAAGCTTTTCCCCCACCTGAGATGCTGAGCTCTGTAATGACAGTGTTGCTTACATGCTACTAAACAACCGCTCTATAGCAGGATGCTCTGGTTGCAGGATGTGTGTGTGTGTGTGTGTGTGTGTGTGTGTGTGGGGGGGTGACAATACACTCACTCTGCGCAGTGTTTGGGTGAAGTGCTGCTCTGGTAGTACTCATCAGCATCATAAAATTCATCCTCGCTGGAGGAGTAAGAGAAGTCTGGCACAGGGTGGGAGGGCAGAGGGATAAGAGTTGGAGAGGCGACACCGCTGCTGGGGCCCGACGGTCCGCTCCCTATCAGAACACAGGTCAGACACGGTCATTCTTCAAACGAGATGGAGAACAAGCTCTTTTAATCAAATCAAGACTGAGAAACTGAGTTGCAAGATGTGAAGAGAAAACCTTGAGCCTTCCTCTGCAGAGTGTAATGACTGTGCACTTGAGCATGCAGCAAGCCTCCTTAATGCACCGCGCAGCGTTTTAACACTGCTGCCTCAGCACCGACGACAGACTGGCAACAACCTCGGCTTTTTATTTACCTAATGCTCACCAACGCAGTCGTGCAACAACACTTAGTACAACTTTTTCTTTATTGACTTCTCATTGCACCTAAACTGTCCTGAAATGGCAAAACGGTTGTTTTTCCTGCACAATGAGCAACTGTGGCATTGTGCATGGAGCTAATGGTGCATTCATCTATTTATTGCACATTTATGCTGCAGAAAATGAACGTTTACCTGTGCTGTTAGGAGTTGGGGTCTGCAGACTTCCCATCACTGTGACCACGGGACCAACTGGTAATGTTGAAGGTCGTTGGTCAGATTTACACACCTGAGAAGCGTCTTCAGGGGAAAAAGAAAAGCAGACAAGTTTGTACTGGATCTTAAAAAGGAAGCGAGACGAGATTGATGTCTTGATTTCTAATATGTCTGGGAAAAAGATCTGTAGGCATGCAGACACAAGCTTAAGCTGTGAGGAGGAGGAGAGGGGGTCTATTAAGAAACCTAAATTAGATCTTTTTTATGGTGTTTCATCACTTGTCTGAGTCAGGATAAGAACCTAACCATGATAATACACTTAATTTTAAAAAGAATCGTGGGAAAAGATAACATAATCACATAAATTCAACAAATAAGTGTATTTCAGGATAAATAAAATGAAAACTAGAAAGAAAGAAAATGATCACACCCACAAGGTAACACTGGAATGTGGTTGAGGTCAAATCAACAATTCTTAATTTAATCAAACAACAAAATACACTTCTATAAAAAATGGTATTATGAACACCAGGGGGTGCTGTTGTCACCTTTGTGTAGACTGAATAAAAACAACCTTTCTGGATGACGTGTGTTTTCCCCCACACTAGAGACACACGTGGTTTTACCTGTGGGTAGTGTGGTCTGTGTTGGCATCGTGGAGTTGACTACAGGGGTCTCCTGGGGGGGCAGGTAGATCCCATCCACTGGGTTGATGGTGCTCTGGAAAATTTGAAAATAAACAAAACCAATCATCAGTAACAAAATCAACCCTGGTGACACAAACTGAAGTGACTGCACGTGCACACCCCTGCCTGCTTACAGTTTGAGAGGAGCTTCTTGTGTTTTTAACCTGTTTTCACCTGCTGTGCCTGCATGTGACCCACGATGAAACGCCTGTATTATAAAAGCCGATCATCGATCAGACTATTGGTACACACAACATAAACAGTGACCTGAAACGCTGCGTCGAGTCTGGGTCAATTTCCTTTTACTCCATAGCCTGAAAAGAGCTTCATGAAATCAATCTGACACCAGCAAACCTTTGTAAACTACTGAACACCAAATCCATCCTCTCTTCTTGAACTCCACGAGACTTTCCAACCCAAAAGGGAAGTAATTCCCTTGTAAATCTGCTTTTGTTATAACTGATTACAACAAATAAGGAGTTTTATTTTCTGTGGACTGCTCTCAGCTTCACATGTTTAAATGAACAGAACCCAGACATGAAAAACATCGGTTCTGTTTAATCAGGCCACCACGCTCTAAAACACAACCTTATCGACCCTTTCCTCCTTTGACTCCCCCTCGGGCTCTTGGCAACACTGAAATGGAATCCAGTTGTTGTGGCGTATTATCTCATCTTTCAACGTGACTGCGTCGCTCTAGATGACATTTCCAGATGATCTGAGATGAACAGGAATGAGTTGAATGACTCAGAATGATGATTTTATCCTTTGATAATATTAAAAATAATGACCACCAAAATGATCTAAAGCTGTGATCATCAGAGGCCGAGATCGTGGCGTCTATTCGCTCCTTCACTTCTCCCGCTGCTGCACCATCCCCATGCCTCGTGCACATGCCCTCAAAAAACTAAGTTGGTGGCTACTAATTATATCTGACTGCCGAGATACTGGTCCGTCACATGTGGGGGAGCAGTCGATCTTTGGCCTTGTAAGTGGGAAATGAACCAGAAGCAGCTGGGCATTAAAAAGTTAGATCTGATTCAGGCCTAAATCATTATCATCATTATTGATTATTTCTTTAAATGAATGTAACATTAATGCAGCAAGTAGTTCTTGCAGTGCAGATTAACTGTTTTCATCTGAATTATGACCGATAAATACTCAACAGACTGTTTGTCTGCATGCTTTAAATAATAAATTCAATTAGCATTAATTTCCCGAGCAGTGCAGAGCTTCAGTCAAACATGCGGTTAGTGTTTGTGGCAAAGGACTACAGCGTGGTCATCATTTACTTTATGAATGAATTGATATCGGAACATTTTCGGTGAATAATAATTCAGGGAGACAGCAGGAAGAAGAGCCTCACAGACGAGGTGAAAGAGCTTTAGCAACACTATGGATGCACATATATCTTGAGCATAAAGCTCAGGTCCTATAAAACGTGTAGATATCCGAGCAGACAGAGCTCATGCTGTGCTATTTATACTACCCATACTGTACTTAATGACTGTGGGATTATGTCAGCCATAAGAGCAGACAGTATGGGTCTGGCCTCTGTGGATTTTATGAGTCAGGAACCGGGCCGGAGACTTCTCCGTGCGCTAGATCATTATCAACAAACTGATAACATTTTCCAAAGCGGGCAGAATGCTTTTAGATTGATTTCCTGCAGCAGAGGCAGCTACTGGGATCTGATCTTTATGTGATGGTACTCATATTAATGCTTAAACGTGTGAGGTCAGTTGGTTTAGCATAAAAATGCATGAATTTAATTTGAGCAGCAAATACAATAATTACTGCACTGGATGATCCACCGCAATCATATCCGTCCGACACATTTTGGGGATGTGTTCAGGGAAATGATCCTCTAGCAGGATAAAATTGGACTCAAGTGTTTTCCACTGATGCTGTCCCATTCATCAGATGGGATAGCATTCCTTTCTCTGCACAACAATAAACCGATGAGTCTCAGAAGACGGTTCTTGATTTCTGGCCATTTTGAGCTTGTAAACAAGCAAACAAGGGCAGCTGTCCAGATACTAAACTATAAACTCAATAATATGTGGAGAAAAACAAGCAGTTGGCCAGAAGAGCTGACTGACTGTCTTTCATAAAACACAAAGTCCGAGAAAAGCATGCATCTTTTGAACTATAATTTTTACCTCTGATCACGTTGGCTCTTTATTTATGAACATTTGTGTCAGAGGCAAAGGCCCAACCGGTGACTAGAGGGTGGCAGGTTCTAGTCCCACTCAGCCATGTCAGTCGTTGTGTCCTTGGGCAAGACAATTCACCCTCCTTGCCTGCTAGTGGGAATCAGAGGGACCGGTGGCGCCTGTGCTCGGCAGCCTCTCCCCCGTCAGTGAGCCCCGGGGCAGCTGTGGCTACATTGTAGCTCTTCACCAGCAGCGAGGGAATGTCTGCATATGTGAGTGAATTATTGGATGTGTTGTAAAGCGGCTTGGGGGGGTTGTAGAACCCTAAAAGGTATGGCGCGGTATGGGAGCCAAATTTAAGACTACTACCCAGCAGCAGGGGGCTATATAAATTTCGAAGCAAACTACTGATCTGATTAATGATAAGCTGGTGCCGGTAACTGAGAGGCTGGCGCTGCTTACTGAGAAATAGCACCTTTACCGGCATTACTACTAGATACGCTAGGGACTAGCAGCCCTCGGCTGGTCATTGACTGGTTCAAACACTCCCTCTGCTGTCTATTAGCATGGATAGGCTAGCGTTAGCCTGGACGGGCTGGTGTTAGCATTGGAGAGGCTAGCCATTAGCGTGCCTAGGCTGGCCACTAGCTGGATTTCCTACCTCCTCGATGGACCATTATCATGAATAGGCTGGCGTTAGCATCGGAGAGGCTAGCCATTAGCGTGCCTAGGCATGCCACTAGCTGGATCTCCTACCCCCTTGACGGACCTTAAGCATGGATAGGCTAGCGTTAGCATCGGAGAGGCTAGCCATTAGCGTGTCTCGGAGAGTCACTAGACAGCTAGTGGCCAGCCTAGGCACGCTAATGGCTAGCCTCTCCAATGCTAACACCAGCCCATCCAGGCTAACGCTAGCCTATCCATGCTAATAGACAGCAGAGGGAGTGTGTGAACCAGTCAATGACCAGCCGAGGGCTGCTAGTCCCTAGCGTATCTAGTAGTAATGCAGGTAAAGGTGCTATTTCTCAGTAAGCAGCGCCAGCCTCTCAGTTACCGGCGCCAGCTTATCATTAATCAGATTGGTAGTTTGCTTCAGAATTTATATAGCCCCCTGCTGCTGGGCAGCAGTCTTAATTTTGGCCCCCATACCGCGCCATAAAAAGGCACTATAGAAATACAGGCCATTTATTATTTTACCATATTTTTCAATTCAGATTAATCCATTCTGTGTTTTCAGGAGCTGATTTACAAGATTTCCCCCCCACCCCCCCACCCCACCCCAGCCCCAGTTATTTGTGGATATTTTGGAGACTCCAATAACTGAAAGATTTTCAAAGCACAGGTCCAGTATTGCCCCTCCTAAAACTGTCTAAAACTACCACCGCATGTTTTATTAGAAAAAAAGAATCGCGCGATACTGAGTCATGTGTCAGCAAACCACCATCAGCAACTTTAATGCTGATATGATTAGTCACAGCTAACTAAAAATACATTAGGGTTTTTACTAATTTTGTGTTTTGTTTTCGAAAAGCAAAAGATTTCTCTAATTGCAGATCCTCCAAAGTGGATGTTACACTTAATTAAGAAGTTAGGATGTCTGGAAATAAATAACACAAATAGAACCAATGTTTACCTTTGGACAGCCAAGATGAACAAAAACAAAATGCACCAACAACTCTAATCTAAAAGTAAAAAGTTTTAATCAAACACGGTTAGAGAAAGCGTGTGCTACTCCTGGTATGGTCTTCGATAGGGACACATGCCTGTTTAGTGCTCTCTGGATGCTCAACTACTCGGTAAGCAGGCAGAGTGTGCAGGGCAATTCAGTGGTGGACTAGATGGCTTTAATTTGTGAGTGATGTGATGTGAAGCATACCCACATCAACAAAGCAAACACACATGTAGAACATGTACATATCATACAATAAACATTTATTGTAGCATGCATGCACATATTGTGTCTAAAAGAAGAAAAGAGTAGCTGCCCAGCCCCGCTAAAAAGAAATCCAATCTCAGATTGAAATTATGTTTTCATTAAGAAGACAGAAGATGCAGACATGAGAGACAGAGCATCAGATGGAGCTGATCTCCAAATTAGACGGCATGCTCTAAAGAGCTGATTCATCAGTGTTTCTAGAAGAAGACGTACATTATGCCAGAAGAGAAAGTTAGAAGTTTTTTTTTCCAGAACTGGAGGGTTTTTTTGTTCCGATCATGGACAAAAAGTGTTTGAACTTACGATAAGTCCGATTGCGTGATGTTGTTCGTTACTTTGGTCCTTAAAATTTTAAGAAGACATTGTTAGACCTCTTTGGGGGCAACCATTTTTAAAAGCATCCTGGTTGAGCATCTGTTCTGAGATCCATTTCCTGTCTTTGACTCGCCACGTGCAGTGATCGTTTCATCACACGGTAAGATCCAGAATTGATAGAAGCAGTTTGATTCCCATGCTGTGCCAATCTGTGAAGTCATCTTCATGCTTCTTGATATTTGTTTGAATGTTGGTTTAAAAAACCCAACAAGTCACACCTAACAACCACATGAAACACAAACTATTGCTCCACTTCCTTTCAGAGAGCTGAATGGAACGTGTGATGAAACGAGCACCGGGCTACACCCTCATCATTCACTGACCCAGATGGCAACTGTAAGCCAGGAACTACCCAGAGACCCGAGGTTACTCACAGCACACACCCGTTTAATCTCTCAGGGACAATGATTGTGATCAAAATGTCTCAAAAAAGAAAAGAAAGTAACAAGCATGCAATTTTAGAGTTTACCTTGGCAATCTGCAGCAGAACAATACAGTGCTTGATGGACTCTACCATACTCTGAAAGAGAAAAACTAGGATCTGTTAACCGGCTGCTACAATGCAACAGGAATGGACGTGTGTTAAGTTCTTACTTACACATGTGGTCTCTTTCAAATTTTCTATTTTCTGTTGAAAAAGGAAAACAGGCTGTAAAATCTGAGCAATTCCAGTCAAACAAAGAAAAGATGGATCTAATAAAATCACGGTATAGAATTTTGGTTTCATGAAAATCAACAAGATCGATGGCAAAGATGACACTTTAGCAACACAATACTGCTGTTAGGAGCAAGTACACACACACGCGCGCACACACACACACACACACACACACACACACACACACACACACACACACACACACACAAAATCAACCAGCTCCCCCATGTCCCAATCAGTGAATCCACTAAACCCACTGACTGCTGATGAAACACTGAATCACCAAAAGTCTAATTCCTGATTTGTTTAAATGTTCCTGGCTCCAAATGTTAAGATTTAAATGGAATAATCATTAAATGTGTGGTTCAGAAATGCTTATATTTGACTATCTGAACCTGTATCTTCCATCATTTCCATTTCCCCTAAGCACCTTGTGATCTTTATCTTGAAAGACGCTATGAAAAAAAAACCGATTTCTTCTTCTTCTCCCCTGGCCTCTACAGCAAAATGAATTATTTATGCTAATCTAGAGCATTGACCAAAATATTCAGTTGTGTTTGCACAAGAGGAGAATGCTTCCCAGTTCCCAGCATGCACCGCGGGGTGACGCACTGACACACGGTCAGCTTAGCACACCCACCTAGCTTGAATGCTAACTCGACCTGCATTGAATACATGTCAGTCTGTAAACTTCAAGCTAACTGTATAAGAGAAGGGAGGGAAACGAAAAGGGATTCATCTTTTGTGTATTGGAGCTAAGTGATTAGTGTAGTGTTCAATGTTGTGCTACATCAAACTTTTGTTTTAGCCGTATTTAGCATTAGCAGGGGGTGTGCTAGCATCATGAATACCAGATTCCTGCCAGTTTCAGATGTCTCCCTGGTTGACCAGTTTGTCTAAAGGGATACTATGAAGTTTTGGCTTGCTTTTAGCACCCTCTAGATTTTAGTTAGTAAAACCAAAAGTGAAACTTTATCTCCCTGCTGTGCGTTCGTCTTTTTAACAACCTTAATCCAACTGCTGAAATGTCTTCTCAGTCTTCATTAGTTTCCACACGAGTGATTAATCACTAAATCAAAGAAATTTGCTGTGTTCATGATCTAAAACATGACTCCAGTGCCAGGCATATCAACTCCACTTTACTAATAACAGGGGCTGGACCAGCACTCTGAAGTTTCAAGTGCAGTATTCTGGCCACAGAGGGTGGTGGGGGCTACGTTCACACTGCAGGCAACAGCGCATTAAATCTGCCCCCCCCCCCCCACACACACACACATCCGACCCATATCTGATTTTTTTATGACAATCTGAACGGACAGATCCAATTTGTTTAAATGCGATCCGTGTCACTTGAATATGTGGTACTGATTCAGACACATATCTGATGATTTTGAAAGCGACTGCAGTCTGAACGGTCAAGTCGCATTAAATCCGTCTCCTACGTTACAGAGTCAGCGGAGGTGAACGTTGTGTGTGGATGTTCCTGAGGAGATGCTCTGGCAGAAGGGTTCAGGAGTCTGTCTGGATATCCTGTTTTAGGTTTTGGAATTAAAATACAAATAGTAATGTGAACGGGAGCTGAAGGAGCTGCTGGAGCTCAAGAAAATGATTTCAAAGTATGAAAAATGTGCATAGCATCCCCTTAAAATGACATATTAGCAGTTTCTGCAGAACCTAATGAAGGCTGAGGAGATTCTTCAGCTTTTTTATAATTAAAACATTGCTTGCCTGTTAGCGCTACATGGTTGTATGGATATGTGCGGTATGAGGCGTAGCTTCCAGAAGGGGAGCGAAGGCAGGGATGGGAGCTATAGCTGCCAATAAATGCTCAACTAGAACTCAAGGAGTCAAATATTAGAGTTCAAGATCACAAAAAAAATAAATTGACTTTGTGTATAAATTGCTTATATAAAGCTGAAGAAAAGGTGCAAAATGGTTCAAAAAGACAAGAATAATGATGAAAATTTTACCATTCTATCAGTTTTATTCATCTGCTTACACACACGTGAATGGAGGCAACTGTGTGTAAGTACTAAGTAATGTGGGACATGCTAATGGTCAATTTGAAAGGCTAAATGTATTACTAATGCTATTAAAAAGTGTCCTAAACCTGAAATTCTTTAATAGCTATCTACAAGATGCAGACAGAAACACAAATTCAAAGGTAAGAGGACAAGCTGCATCTGTTTGACTAATTTATTTACCTTTTTCAGTCAAAGCTGTAATATTTGTTTCTTTTTGAGGATCAAAATACAAAGCAGCCAACAACAAAGCAGCTAAATAAAACATCAGACTGACGGCTAATAAATTTAATTTGTCGGTTACTGAAACGATAAGAACCGAGGGACCAGAGACGAGAACACCACTCCACTTCTGGTACTCACTCTGCGCGATTCATCCTCTTTGCAGTCCTTGATCTTCTCATCAAACAGCTGTTGTAGGATGAGAGAAGAGAACCAGACGTCAAACGAGTCAGAGAGAAAATCTCTAATCTACAGAAGATCTGGTTTGGGATAACGTGGAATCAAGTGGCACAATACATCCTCACAGGAAGTAAAAACTAAGAGTATTTTTAATCTTATTTTATTAAGACAAAGCATCTTAATAAAAATACGTCAAGTGTCTCAGACTAAATGCAACTGAAGGACTTCTTGCTTTGTCATGATGCAACCACAAATCAGTTTAAAGAACTTCTGCTTTTTCTAAACGAATCCAGATAAACACACAAACAACAAAACTGAAAAATCAGCAGAACTTATGATGAAAATTCTGAGAATTAGACACACAGTATAAACAAATGATTTCAACTGAGCATTAAAAGACATTAGATCAGAATATTTTCCCATATAAACACAGCGATGACCCACCTTTAACTGGTCGATTAGAATCTGCAGGTAGGCGTCGGCTTCAGACAACTTTTTGTCGAAGTCTTGAACGCTCGGAACAAATCCCGTCTCTGCCTCCTGCGGGGAAAGGAAGACAAGCGGCACTGAGCATTACAGCGACCTCGAACCAAAGCCCTGCTGGTGTTTACATACTCAAACTGAAACCATCAGTAATTCATAAAGCGGCTCGTCTCAGTCACCTCCTGACCAAATGGGTTTGGTAAAGCGGTGAAACAAAATGGTGGGCTGAAACCTTTCAGGAGAATCTACCAGCAGCGTGTTAAACACAATCTGAGCAGTTATTGTTGAAAGGCTGGCCTGCATGAGGCCAGAGGTGGTCAGGCTACCGAGCCAGTGAACCACAGACTGTGTGGATGGACTCAGATTTATTGTGTGTTCAATCAATTTCCTGAACAGCCCCTAGACTCCACACACACACACACACACACACACACACACACACACACACACACACACACACACACACACACACACACACACACACACACACACACACACACACACACACACACACACACACACACACACACACACACACACACACACACACACACACACACACACACACACACACACACACACACACACACACACACACACACAGGGGCGTAGCACCAAATTCTGGGCCCTAGGTACAAGTCTTCTAGGTGGGCCCCCATGCTCAATTACTCAATATCTCTCTTACACATTTTTTGTCATGCTATAAGACAAGATAATAAATATGATCTTAGTTTAACCTCTATATTGAGCAAATACAAATGCCAGCATAATAAAAGTGAAATGCCCAGACTTCACATATAATTATTTTTATTTGCCAACAATGTGTTCAAACAAAAATCCTGGAATTTATTTTCCAGTAAATGCCCACTGACGGGTCTTCATGTTAGCAAAATCACTTATGAGATCTTTAAAGTCCAATCCTTTGGCTAATTGGCTTTCAGCAGAAAGAAGAGCTAGGCTGTTCAGTCTATCCTGGGACATTGTTGATCTCAAATAATTTTTCACCAGATCCAGTTTGCTAAAAGCCCGTTCACCCCCAGCAACAGTCACAGGTAGTGTGCAAAATATCCTCAGTCCAATACAAACTTCTCCAAAAATGCTCTGTAATTGCATCCTGTATGGCATTAAGCAGCTCAAGAGGAGACCGAATGTGTGGAAATGTGGCACCATATATTGTTCTCAGGTGTAGCATCTCATTCTCAAATTCAGCTGTGAGATCCTTGTAATATTTTCTTATCAGTGCCTGGCACGATATCTTCATCTGCTCTTCAGTTATGTCTGTCATGGTTCATGATGTTAAGCTTTGCTGATATGTATTAATATATTAAATACATATGACATGAAATAAACCAGGTTCTCTCTGTGAATGTAATGTACTCTAAATTTTATAATCCCTGCATTATCAGCCAAATTATAAGATTGTCCGTTTTCAAGATCAAATATAAAGAAATTTAAAATAGGCTTAAAATATCTAACCAAGTCAATAACAATCCTCTAACACCAGTGTCATCATGCTATACGAAAAACAGTGGCAGCTTCACATTCCTGAGATTACCACAAATCCATCGATACCAAGTTTGTCCTGGTCCATGACTGGGAAGGAGCTGAAATATCCACACAGAGTGAACCTGTTTTTACTGCGAGGTCCGCGAATTAATTGGCGGCGGCCGCCCGCAGTAATAATTCTGATTAATATATATATATATTAATTAGTGTTTTCACTGATAGCACTAATTAATTTATATTTGATCTTGATGGTGAAACTAAAGGCGTTTAACACTGAACACCTAACATGAATGCAGATTCTGAGAGCTAGCTAATATCAGCTAAAACTGTGTTCTGCTGCTGCTGCTCACCTTCCTTCTTGAAAAACCTAGTCAGTACTTGCTTCTGTTCAATTAACTTTTTCTCCTTCTTCTTCTTTTCTTTTCTGGAAGCCAGATTTCCCTTTCTTGGGAAAAGACATGACTGACTCTCCTGCCTCCAGCTCTGGCTGTCGGCATCTGCGATGTCTCATTAGCTGTTCATGCGGCCGTGCAGCCCCTGGTCGCAGGTGTGGACTAAACCACTTTGCACATTTTTAAGGGGTGATAGATGCCTCAGAGATTATTCAGTTATTATTTTTAAGGCAAAATTCTGTTTCTTAACCTCTTTATCCAGGTAAAGGGAAGTTTATTAAGACATTAAGTAAGTTGGGGGGAAAAAACAACAACAATAAAACATTTTTATTCAAAGCTGTCTCAGGGCCCCTCCCTGCAGTGGGCCCTGGGTAAACGGTACCCTTTCCCCCCCAGTCCGACGCCCCTGCACACGCACACGCGCACACACACACACACACACGCACACACGCACACACGCACACACGCACACACACACACACACACACACACACACACACACACACACACACACACACACACACACACACACACACACACCATTTCAATACCTGAGATCCATTAAACAGTTATTTTTTTACACGACCTGAAGAGCAGACATGACCAAGCGTCGGGTCTGGTTGTCCCAAGTTTCCCTAAATGGTAAATGATAAATGGTAAATGGCCTGTATTATTTGATATAGCGCCTTCTAGAGTCCTGGAACCCCCCAAGGCGCTTTACAACACAATCAGTCATTCACCCATTCACACACACATTCACACACACGTGGTGATGAGCTACAATGTAGCCACAGCTGCCCTGGGGTGCATTGACAGAGGCGAGGCTGCCGAGCACTGGCGCCACCGGTCCCTCCGACCACCACCAGGCAACGTGGGTTAAGCGTCTTGCCCAAGGATACAACGACAGCGACAGGCTGTGCGGGGCTCGAACCTGCAACCTTCCGATTACGGGGCGAGCACTTAACTCCTGTGCCACCGTCGCCCCAGAACAATTAAGCGGACAAAGATACAGGCAGGAAAATTAAACATACACACATTGCACTTCTTTAAGGGAATAAAAAAGGCAAGTCACACACTTCCTGAGAGTGTTGGTTACGAGCAGAGTTAGCACAAAGGATAACGCAATAACCCCTCGATCTCAGGTGGTTCAGTAGATGACTAATACAACCTGTGTTGGTGCAATTTACCACAACACAGCAGCTAGTCTGATCCGGAAAAACACAGAACTAACTCTCACATAGACCCGTAGTCAAGAGTAAGAAGGAATCAAAGTAAATCCTTGTCCTGGTAATAAATCAAGCTCTTATCAAACCCTGGTGCGTGCAGCTGGCTCGGATTTGCAGCGTCGCAAGCTCCTGACGCGTCTTCCTACTGCTGTCTGCAGCCTCATGGGAACGTGAAGGAAAGCCATTAACCCAAAGCGACACATTAACAGACGCTCTGACCCCAACAAGTACTAAAGTTTAAACTTCTGAAGCTTTATAGAGAGCAAAGTCTGCAGCCAGGGAGCATGTGGCTAGCAGGGCAAACCTCCTCCGGGGGTCAAAGGTGCACAGTTTGTTAGTTTAGTGTGACTAAGAAAAAAAAAATACCTCAGCTAAAATCAAAATACTGGTAATGCACACAGGAGTGAAAGTGTATCAGCAAATCTGAACTGTGGGTCACACGTGTATAAACACTCAGGTTTTCCTTTTATAACAAGAATGTTTTTAATCAGAGGTCAAATAGACCATATTATCATCAGTCTACATGGGTGAGACACGGGGGTTATCTACACCTGCACTGTAAAGTCACCAATAATAGTCATCACAGATGATCAGTTTACGAACCCATAACGTAGCCTACCTTACTTGTCCGTGTGATTTATCGGAGACCGGTCTGCATTGAAGCCTAAAATCATTGGATGAGGTAATGATAAGGAGCAGGAAAACGAAGCCCCCGGGGTTTAACACCTCCCCTATTATTATGTGGCAAACTGAATCCAATGTTTTGTCAACACACAGAAGGAGAAGGGAGGTGCTGCTTCACAGACGGAGCAGAGAAGCTCAGACGCAGGTGGCTGGTTTATAAACGGCTCCTGCACGACCACGTCACGTCTCCACGACTCCGAGACGGCCGCTGGTTCTCACCACCCGGACCGACCGTCGCTGACACACACAGAGAACCTCTCACAGCAGCTTGCACATCCCACCCTCCTTCCCTCCCTCCCTTCGTGTGTATTTGTCTGTCCACATGGTGTGACCCACTTTGAAAACACTGTTGCCCCAACGGTGCGCTGCAGCTATTCAAACGCTGTTGTGTTTTCGTTCGTGTGTTTTTACTTACAGGGCACCTCGCGCCAATGAACATGCTGCATCAATCAGAGCTTGCGTCTCTCTCAGGCCGTCCAGCCTGACACAAGCTCCTTTCGCTTTCCGTCTCTACCTCCGTCACTTGATCTGTTCCCTCCCCACAGCATCAAACCACCAGCTCTGGTGAAGTTAGCATTTTTTTCTTCTCCCTCCTCCACAGGAAAACTGAAGAAAAAGCGTGCTCCTTCAGTGCTCCAAAGCTTCTGGCCAAAAACGAACCACAGCAGCCCTCAGCTTTCAGTCTGGCTAAAAAAAATATCCTGATTTATCAGCTGACTGTTTTGTATGAGGCAGACTGAGTCGAGTTAATCCAGAACCCTCCCCTGGCAGGAAGGGCACACTTCCTCTCACATAGGCAGAAACACACACACACACACACACACACACACACACACACACACACACACACACACACACACACACAGAGCAGAAAAGCAGTAAAAACATCCCTGATTGGCTGAGGCAGCAGAGGCAGATGTTTGGGTGATCGAGCAACCACGTTCAAGGTTGGATAGCTCTGGTCACATGATTCTACGAAAGCAGCTCACACTGTGTGTGTGTGTGTGTGTGTGTGTGCATGCGTGCTGAGGGAGCAGGCACACGTGGTACATCAGAAAGACTTGCCATGAAGGGAGGAGGGAGGGGAGCAAAAAGAAAAAAACAGAAGAGAAAGGGCAAATGACAAGGTTGATCATGAGGACGAAAAAGAAGAAAAAGGGAGCAGAAAACAGAATTTTAAAGGAGAGAGGGGAAAGGGTTAGGTTTAGGAGAGGAAGATCGATGAGAAACTAAAACACCCCCAGTCTAAACACTCAGGAAACAGAGAAATAGCTGCCAGCGGTTTGTTACGAAACCCTCTCTATTACACAAAACTGCCTCTGCTAATCACCATATATTATCACAACATCCATCATAAGGGAAAAAATGTCACCTTTATTTCCATTCAAATCGCCCGACTCGTCACACCTGTTCTGCTGTGACTAAATGATGCTAAAATCCCTAATTCTAATCTCGCTGAACTAGTTCAACTTCCTCAAAGTTCAAATCAAAGTTTCAGAAACTCCAAGTCAACTTAAGAACACAACCACGGGTAACGTCAGGCTTATTTCTTACTTTTAAATAATCTTTGTGGATAAAGTTTGCTAAAAGAGGACTTAAGTGTCACATGACGATACCATAATCTAATTAAATTCCAAGCATTCCTTGAAGGAATGCATTTCTCACATGGCCTCCCATGCCAGAGTGTCATGGTCATCGTGTGCTGAGGAACGATGGAGGTAAAGACGTTTTTGTCACAAATACAGTTATGTACAAACTAGTGAAAAATCAGTTAACCTCAGCGAGTCTGTTCACTTTTAAGTAAAAATGACCAGTTTTGTGTTTGCCACCATTGACTGGTGTTGCCACCATCTGGCCGACTCCAAATGTTAACCATTTGTCGACGTACAGCCACTGACTAACCTCTGAACGCGTCATTAAACTCCATTTCTGCAGTCAGACAGCAAAAATATTTAGTTGTTAGAGAAATTCGTCTTGGTTGAAGACCGCACGCTCAAAGCAAACATGACGGAGCTCCATAGAAGACAAAAGACTCTGCTGTAGGGTAGATTAAACATGCATGAACACATGTACAAACAATGTGGTTAGCTACGTACCCGGAGTTGGAGGGTGTGACGGAGGATAGTTCCCTCTAAGGCGTGGATCCACTTCTCTCGCTCATCCGCATCTCGAGCTGACGGCAGAAACACACACGCACGCACACACACACACACACACACACACACACACACACACACACACACACACACACACACACACACACACACACACACACACACACACACACACACACACACACACACACACACACACACACGGTGAGCCATGTTTTCCATTGAGACATAACCAGAAGCTGTGCTCAAGTTACACACACCAAGGTAACAGTGAGATGACATGAGCACTGGTGGTGTAGAGATGGAGAGTAAAGGAAAACTAAAGGTTTTTAAAACATACGATAAACAATAAAAGCTGTGTTAATGATTTTGTTGCACAGTAAAACCGTGACAATTCAAATTAAAAAAATGCTAATAATCTAGCTTTGAGAGCATTTTCCAATGAGCATCCTTCTGTTCTGTGAGAAAGTGATGAGATGACGCCAGACAAAGGTCAGATTATCTGCAACATGAAACAGTGACTCTGCACAAGCTCCAGGACACGCAACAAACCCAAAATAATTCATTTTTGGTACAAAGAGACCTCGCGTTGGTCTTGAGATGATAAAATGAAGTTCCAATATAAACTGATATGCTCTATTTTCCAATAAATTGCACTTTCACATTTCATGGACTATTTTGTTGACGCCCACAAAGCTGCTTTTATTCTGCTTCCAACATGCAGGACAGTCACCCCATGTAATAAAACGTCAACTTAAAAAGCTGCGAGAGGAACTTACATGCACCTAAACCAAGTAAATTTTCACTGAGCTGAAAGCAAGGCTACAGCAGATGAATGGCTGTCCAAGCACCCAGGATCAACCATTCTACAGCAGAAAAGCTTTTAAAGACATTAAAAGGCAGCTGAAGCTCGGGCCAATCCACTCAGACACAGCCTCAGTGGCCTCTCACTCTCCCCTTCAGTCAAACAGACTCAACGGATGAGCAGATTATGGAGGTTAACGTTGTTTAGCTGCTATTCCTGAAGGAGGTGAGGCAGTAGCACAACCACTCAAGGAAAACAACTGACTGGATCTGTAGTAGTTTTTCTACCAGTTTCACATCCCCATGGTTTACTTTCACATCTAGGTGCTTAGCTAATAGCAGTGTGTAGACGGACACAAACAAACATCAGAAAAACCTTGCTCATCTTCTGAGTCAAATACTCAAACACATTCTTATTCAAACAGTAACATTAAAGGTGCATGATATCAGAAATAAGTAAGAATGACATCTTGTGGTCAAATTTGGGTACTGCAGTATATTTTCAAAACAAACGGGTGACTTTGTGACCCCCTTTGGTGAGATACATGGCTGTTGCCGGTTATGGCTCCGCTCCGGAAGATTTTAGATGGCGAGTCATACACAGTAAATTTAGATAAATACATTACAAAAGTAACTTGAAATTTTTAGAGCCAACGATTTGTTTCTCATTCACCGTTAGCATTCTTAGCTCAACATTCGCCTCTAGCCTTACACCGGGTCCACACCGGGTCCACCAGCAGTGTGGAACGGCAGTGGGACGGTTTACTTGTGTGCTCTGCAGTGCGTCAATCCACACCAAGGGAGTCTCAGCGGTGGAGTGGCATCACTGCCGTCGTCCTCACTGAACCCACAATATCAAAAAATCCCTCGAGACTTCAAAGGTCATAGTTTGTTTATTCCATCTGCCATTAAGATGAAGGAGATCACATTTGATATTACTGTTTGTCATATATAATGTTGTTCTCCACCACTGCCAAAATTAAAGCCATGAAAAACACAAGGTTGCACTCCTCAAACGACACTGGTAGTAAATAAGCCGTCAGGTCACATGTATAATCTACATAAATACAAAACATATCTTTGCAATGTACTTTTATTTTGACAATTAACAATACTGTGTGCGGTTTCCCGTCTTGCCCTATGTTAATTGCATGACTTGACACATCCCAGAAGCATCTAGCAGCAACAACAGAACCCAATCCTACCCTTAGTGGCACGGTGCAATGTGGTAACACGTCGCGCTGCTTCTGGGATGTGTCTGAAAAGTTCTGTGACACGGCCGGTTTGGATCAACCCCATAGACCATAATGAATTCTATGTGAAGCAGAGATGCTCTGCTGCTGTTCTGTGCTACCGAAGCTTCCAGTGTGGACTTGGCGCCTCTTTCAGTGCGCCCCAGGGCAGCTGTGGCTACATCGTAGCTCATCCCCACCAGCGTGTGAATGTGTGTGTGAATGACTGATTGTGTTGTAAAGCACCTTGGGGGGTTTCAGGACTCTAGAAGGCGCTATATCAAATACAGGCTATTCACCAAAACATCCCAACTGCATGGGGAGTTTGAACTAAAAGTTTCTAGATCTAAGGATGGTTAGACTTTCTATTATGTGGTGTACATTTTTTCCAAGGATGATTTGCAGAATCAGAAAATTAAAAGAAAATTATGGGATTTTTTTTACAGTCTGGTTATGAGACATTTTGTACCAATAAGAATTTTAATAGGACAACAACAGGAGACAAAAGTCTAAAAGTCACCTTGGTTGACTGTTTTACTTCTACAACTCTGTAAAAAATGGTCTTTAACAACTTGCTCTTAAACTTTACAATACTGCATTACACCTACAGTCAGGTCCATAAATATTGGGACATCGACACAATGCTAACATTTTTGGCTCTATACACCACCACAATGGATATCAAATGAAACGAACAAGATGTGCTTTAAATGCAGACTGTCAGCTTTTATTTGAGGTATTTACATCCAAATCAGGTGAACGGTGTAGGAATCACAACAGTTTGCATATGTGCCTCCCACTTGTTAAGGGACCAAAAGTAATGGGACAGAATAAGAACCATAAATCAAACTTATACATTTCAATACTTGGTTGCAAATCCTTTGCAGTCAATTACAGCCTGAAGTCTGGAACACACAGACATCACCAGACGTTGGGTTTCATCCCTGGTGATGCTCTGCCAGGCCTCTACTGCAACAGTCTTCAGTTCCTGCTTGTTCCTGGGGCATTTTCCCTTCAGTTTTGTCTTCAGCAAGTGAAATGCATGCTCAATCAGATTCAGGTCAGGTGACTGACTTGGCCATTGCAAAACAGTCCACTTCTTTCCCTTCAAAAACCCATTGGTTGCTTTTGCAGTATGCTTTGGGTCATTGTCCATCTGCACTGTGAAGCGCCGTCCAATCAGTTCTGAGGCATTTGGCTGAATATGAGCAGATAATATTGCCCGAAACACTTCAGAATCCATCGTGCTGCTTTTGTCAGCAGTCACATCATCAATAAATATAAGAGAACCAGTTCCACTGGCAGCCATACATGCCCACGCCATGACACTTCCAGCACCATGCTTCACTGATGAGGTGGTATGCTTAGGATCATGAGCAGTTCCTTTTTGTCTCCATGCTCTTCTCTTCCCATCACTCTGGTACAAGTTGATCTTGGTCTCATCTGTCCATACGATGTTGTTCCAGAACTGTGAAGGCTTTTTTAGATGTTGTTTGGCAAACTCTAATCTGGCCTTCCTGTTTTTGGGGCTCACCAATGGTTTACATCTTGTGGTGAACCGTCTGTATTCACACTGGTGGAGTCTTCTCTTGATTGTTGACTTTGACACAGATACACCTACCTCCTGGAGAGTGTTCTTGATCTGGCCAACTGTTGTGAAGGGTGTTTTCTTCACCAGGGAAAGGATTCTTCAGTCATCCACCACAGTTGTTTTCCGTGGTCTTCCAGGTCTTTTGGTGTTGCCGAGCTCACCGGTGCGTTTCTTCTTTTTTGAGAATGTTCCAAACTGTTGTTTTGGCCACGCCTAATGTTTTTGCTATCACTCTAATAGGTTTCTTTTGGTTTTTTTCAGCCTAATGATGGCTTGCTTCACTGGTAGTGACAGCTCTTTGGATCTCATCTTGACAGTTGACAGCAACAGATTCCAAATGCAAATAGCACACTTGAAATGAATTCTGGAGCTTTTATCTGCTCATTGTAATTGGGATAATGAGGGAATAACACACACCTGGCCATGGAACAGCTGAGAAGCCAATTGTCCCATTACTTTTGGTCCCTTAACAAGTGGGAGGCATATATGCAAACTGTTGTAATTCCTACACCGTTCACCTGATTTGGATGTAAATACCTCAAATGAAAGCTGACAGTCTGCAGTTAAAGCACATCTTGTTCGTTTCATTTGATATCCATTGTGGTGGTGTATAGAGCCAAAAATGTTAGCATTGTGTTGATGTCCCAATATTTATGGACCTGACTGTACAAGAAGAAGTCTCACAGCCGCTGTTTCATAACAGAGAACTGCAGAATAAACCCAATTACTGTGTGCGCCGATGAAAAAAAGCACAGCAAGGAAGCAAGACTTTCAGAAGAGCAAAGGAGGAACTGAGCTGAACACAGGGAAACTCTAAATGTTTCCATCAGCGCACGCACGCATGCACGCACACACACACACACCTTTCCAAATACAAGAACTAAAATAAATAGAAAATGTACTAAAATACTTGGGCACACCTACATGTTGTTTCAGTCATCTGACTGGTTGTGTTGTCACTGCTGATAGACACAATGTCAACATTAGAGAAACTATACTCTACAAACAGAGAAATGTATCTGTGTTCACATCATCTGTCACACCATATAATGCAGATTATCCACCTGTAAAAAGGTTAAAGAATGTGTAGTCCATATCACATTATCTTAAAAGTGCAAACTCAGCCCTCTAAATCCTGTTGTCATCTATTTTATCATAAATCTCATACTTTTGTCATTTTTGACACTTTGATACTTTTTGCAAGAACCAAAGTCAAGAGCACACATGCAAAACATGCCTGAATCAAAAGAAGCACCACTGACACATCATAACCCCAATCAAATGCAAACATCAATAATATTTTCCTTTCATTCATTCTGCACAGTAAATAAAACAGAACCATTAAAGTAGGGCCTGTTTACCGGCACAGTGCTGCCATCAGCTAATAATTCGGTGGGCAGTCATTTTAAGCGGATGCGTAGCCAACTGTAAAGAAAGCACTTATGTGATTGAACGTGTCACTTCATATGACCGCTGCAGTCTGGGAGATTATATTTGAAAATCGGCTGCAGCTCGAGACTTCGCAAATGAACACAACAAGCGAACAGCATCAATGATGCGACTTTTATCCAAAGACGTTTTCTGCCACGTCTAATCTTCGTGTGATGCTTCTGCTCCTTCACTCAAAAAGCTTATGTGAATTATGCTTAACATGTCTTTCTCCCCTTGTCACCCTGAAATGAGCTGATGAAATGTCATCATATATGCTCCAATGGGATGATGTCCAACTGCAACAAGTCAAAACAGAGACGGAAAATATGCTCAAGTTTAGACATTAGCCTAATTTGTTCATTTATTATATGATCATACTCCAACTGTACAGCCAGAACTGCAGAAAGAGTGTAAAAAATACAAAAGTAGCAGAAGAGTACAACTGATGAGTAAGGACCAGAAACGTAAGGATGTTCTGGGAATGCTGGGTGGCCTTCTGACATCGGAGAGAGCTAATGACAAAGGACTGACGGCTTCTGCAGATGAGAGAATGTGAGCAAAGAGGGAAAAAGAGGAAAGGGCTTTTCAGGCATCTATGATGCACCACTGGCAGATTGGACCCCATAAATAATGGATGATTCTCTAAATAGATGACAGAGCTGCACTCGTGACTGGTCAGTTTCTAGAAATTGTTTTTCCTCTCCTGTAAAGTCAAATCTCACATACTTGAGAGCTGTTAGGGTATTAAGTTCTCACGAGCCACTTTACAGGTGATAAATCACTGGAAAATTCAATTCTGGTTCTGGTCGGTCAAACAGTCCACGCATTGAGTCACACATATCTGAACAGACACATTTAGACGGTGCGGAAACTGCATTACATGAACAGACGGAGATCATTTTACACCGGTGGAGAGTTCCTGCTCCTGACCAACATCCTGTGCAGGTTTTCATGTCCACGCACACAGCTGATGTAGACAGGATCTGGGGCTATTGTACAGAAGTGCTGATTTTCGTGCTCGTCCTCTAGAGTCGACACGTGATGCTCTTCAGGAGGACAGGCATTTTTAACAGTAGTTTCACAAACTAATACACGACCATAGAGGTCACAGTCTTTAAGTTCTGAGTGAGGACATGCAGCTTAGGAATATGAATATATTCTGAAATAAGATCTTTTAAAGGGTAAATCTGTCATTTTATGCTGCCATACGGTTCTCTACTAACTCTGCAAACACTCCATATGTAAAAAAATAAATAAATCCAGCTTTTTCCTGTGTGTGTTTGGTTTCGGAATTATATGCCAATATTGAGTCAGTTTAAAAAGTTCCCGATTGTGACATCACAGTAGGGCAAATTTGCATAGAACCCTGTCGCATCTGTCGAGTCTCAATAAAATTGTAAAGTATCCTACATTATTGTTAACAGAGATGCGGAGTAAGGATACAGTGCAGGGCTGGGCAATAAATAGAAAAGGTTTCGTTATCGAAATTTCTGACTCTTAGAGATCATTTTTACCATGTCAATACATTTATGAATAAAAAAAAGATGTGTGTAGGTTAGCAACGCTCATGTAACTGCCAGCTGTTTCCTGATCAGAAAAATCCTTCGCTGCCAGCATTTAAGGTTTTTTTGTAGAGTCACAAAAAAAAAAGGAGTCTATGATGATGTCCATAACCAAAACTAACAAGACTAAGAAACAAAGAGGAGACTCACCTCTTACATCAAGAAGAATAGTCTGTTTCGAGCGTTATCCGTTCTTTCATAATTCGTTGTCGAATTGTTATCGGCAGAAGCTTTTCCGGTTCGCACCTCACTTATTTTACAGCAGCGGCCCAAAACGATCTCCTAACACATGAATTTTCTGCTTCCTGATCACGTGACATGTGACGTACGCGGAAGAAGATCGGCTTCAGAGCTGGGATGTTTGTTCTCATGGTGCGGGGGCTCGTTCCGACGCCCACACAGTAAAAAAAAAAAAAAAGCAAATGAGGACTTTAGTCGTCAATGGCAGTTAATGAGTTAAAAAGCGATACCACCTTGAGTCACGTAAAAATGTGACTCAACATAATACTTGTGACAGACCCATCCCCGTCCCAGTGGACAACTTTTGTTTCTACGCAAACTACTACTTATCGTTTATTTATTGTTAGAGGTGAAAACCTCAATATATTGTGATATTGATTTTAGGCCATATCGCCCAGCCCTACTAGGTCTTGGAAGTCCTTAGGATTGCTTTGGAGGAGCTGGCCGGCTGGAGAGAAAGATGTTTGCTTCTCTGATTCTTTGCTAAGCTGCTTTCCCCACAACCCAACTCCAGAATAAGCAGAAGACAGCGGGTTGATGAATGAAGACACTTTTGAGAACCTTGAACATTACACAGCAAGACTAGTCAGCAAACTTCATCTGATGAAGTGAGCTGCACCTACTCTCCATGTCATGTCAGCAGATAAGGAAGATTTACATGCTTTTAAATGAACATTTAAACACACGTGGGTGAATGAAGAACAACCTGAGGGATTTTCTGCTTTTAGATCATTTGGATGTGATTAAGAGCTTTAACTAGAACACTGTTGGTAAAGCAAGCGGGAATGAGACTCGTAATTCCCCGTTTTTACTGTGTCAAATGCCAAGCCTATCAGGGGATAGGTGGACGTGGCTAGCAGCAGCCTAGGGCTGCCCCATAGGGACAGAGCCCTGAAATGGCTCATTCTGGAAGGTACTGAAAATGCCAAGAAGAGAGTTGATGAGATTGCTTGAAGGAAGGAACTTCATGAGCATGTTTTGTATAGACCATATAACTATTATAAACTTTAAAAAATCAAAATATTCTCAAAGAGTACAAATTAATTATTTCAAAAGAATAATTTTTATTAAGATTAATAAATATTTGTGGAAATGTTTTCTGCGCCCGTCCATCAATGTGACTCAAACCAGAATAACATCTGCATTTAGACATCATCTTCATTTTCAGACAGTATGAGCCTACAATCTGATGCACAAAGCTGTATCTGACCACATTAAGGCATTAAACCCAACAACAAACTCAAATCAGTTTTAACATGAAACTTGATATTATTGGACTACCATTAATATCAGCCGATATCTGCATTAAAAAGCAATTTTGGAAAATATCTGTTTCAGTTTCTAGTCTTTTAATGACTCAACATTTACATACCATACACACATTATACATCAAACTCTTCAGCTACTTCTCCCCTCTCTCAAAATGTCAAAATATAACAGATCTGAGGTAAAATGTTTTAGATATTTTTGTTTATTTGGTACAACTTGTGAAGTAGAAATCTGATGACTAAAACAAAACCAAGAATCTTCACTCAAGACTAATTTTCTTACCTGAAGATATTTATAAATGTTTTATCATCATTGCTGCAATATAAAGAAAAAGATGATAATACATAACTAACTAATACACACATCTTAGCGTCACGCTTAGGGAGAATGAGATTCAGCTGCTGGTGGAGACAAAATAAACATGGAACTTTTCCTGTTGCTAACTGAAATTGAGGTCGTTGTCATTTTGCACAGAAAATGTTTATAATTTAAGCATGAATGATAGGAGATATGTGTTGTTAGTAACTTTAAATGTTTTAGTATTATAAAAGGAGGGGGACACAGCATATATCGGCATCGATAATTAAGAGTCAGACAATATCGGTAAAAAAGTCAATATCGAGCATTCGTATAAAAAACGCAGAGCAGGAAACGCATCACCATACCAAGGAGGGAAAGCCTGAAATCACTGTTTAATCAATCCAGCAACAACAACATCAATATTAATAATAAACATCCTCAGGAACAACAAACAGCTTCTAAACATAGAGCCCGTCTCCTCCAATTCCTCAACACCCACTGCAGTCTGCTTCACACGGCGCTGAAATGCCCTTCAACCTCGTTCCCAAACCAAAACACCAGAATGAAAGGGAACATTGTGCTCCACCCTGACTCTACATCCCAGAAGACAAACAACACCTCCAGCTCTGGCAGGCATGCCGACCGTGAGACGTGCGCGCCTTCCTCCTTACCCTTGCGTTTGTAGAACCACAGCATACAGCTTCGGAACACAGACATGGGACAGGGCATGGAGAAGGTGAGAGAGGCCGGGGACCCATGGACTGTGGCTAGTGACCCTCAAGAGGTGAGGTGGTGACGGTGGAGTGTGCAGGCGGAATGGGTATGGACGGACAAATGGGAGGACGGTGATGAAGCAAACTTAGAGGCGGTTAGGTGACCTGGTGAGCAAAATAGTAAAAAAAAAAAAAGAAAAAGGTGTCTGCAGTGGACTGGACAGCTCAAACAAGAGAGAAGGATTGATTAGATGGGAGGGGCAGTCGTTTCCCTTTGAAGTGAATAGTTATTAAATAGGAGGAGCAGAAGTGGTGCAGCGAAGGATGATCAGCAGCAGCAACAAGGAGACCTGAGCTCAGCTCCAACCTCAGCAGTATTCCCTCATAATTCCCAGAGGCTCAGCTGTAGAGACACGAGCAGCAATCTTCCTCTTCCACTAGTCCAGAGGGACGGAGAAAAAGAAAAAAAAAACTTCCACTTGCTTCTTTTTTTCCCCTCTTTAGAAATTTCAGTTTGGCTTAAAATGAGACAAATCTCGTCAGACTAAGTGGGAGACACAGCTCGGCTGCATGCAGCACACTGTGCCTGTGTGTGCATGTGCTTCCTGGCATTAGAGCAAACCAAGTCTTTAAAGGTGGGGAGGGATGGAGGAGTGAGAGGAGGACTGGCGGAGAAGGAATGAACCGCACAGATGGATGCAAACAAGATCCCAGGGAAGGAGAGGCAGGGACGGCAGCGGAGAGAAGGAGGCACGAAGAGGACAGCTCACCTTGGAAATGGAAAGTCTTCTGGTCCACAGTGATGGTGAATGTGCTGTCGTCCTCGTCATCGATGCCAATCACAGCTCCCTGACCAAACAGAGAGAGAAGCAGAGGCAGTCAGGCAGCAGGACACGTCATACTTTACTTTCCATCCCCATCTTCATGCCCTCCACATGTCCCAGCAACCACAACAGAAAAACCACTAATAACAAATCTGCCTCCTCAGCAGCTCTCTCTCTCTCTCATTCAAAATCTCCAGTTTTTCTTGCCTTGTCATCTCTTTCCCACACTCACCGTGTTTCTCTCTCACAAGCTCATATGAATGCAGTCTTTTGGAACATGGGAGAAAGGAGGGGAAAGGAGGAGGTGGGATTTGGGAGAGTGAAGGAAGAGAAAAAGCAGGGGAGGGTGGAGGAATACAGGGACTAGCAGAAACCTAGCAAAAAATAAATAAATAAATAAATAAAACTGCAGGGAAACAGCCTGCTGGCTAGCTGAAACCCAAGACCCCAGCAATAAAAACTGACCGTTTTTTTCTAGGAGATGCAACGAAAATCATTAATATTACAAGGAAAGCAGGAAACATTCCAAACAGATAAAAAATATTTTGTAGCTCTGCAAAAAAATCCTCCATCACGCTTAAATGGATTATTCTAATTCATTCTGACTTAAATCTGATGTGTTTTAAATAAGCTTAATAGTATTTTCTATTACTTGTTAGACTGCAGTGAGACAGTGCCTTTCCTAAGATAAACAAAGAAACATGCACCTTGTGATCCTGCAGCAACAGCCCAGGATAAGTTAATAATATAAGACTTTGACACAAGAGGCACCATGCTAAATCCTCACAAATCATCCATATTAATCATTGAGGAAAGTGTAGATTAACATAAACATATAGAGTTATCGGGTCTGCATTAAAACAGATTACAAAAGTACTAATCTGAACAAGTTTGTAAAGTTTTGTTGCATTAAAGACAGAAAAATGTTCTTTCTTTGAAAAAGCTAGATAAACCCTGGCATCCCACAAAGAAATGATTTCAATAGTTTTGGTGCATAAAACTAGTTAGAAAAATAAAAGATTTTCATGCAAAAAAAATTCTTCAGGTCTAATTGTTTCACTCTAAAAAACAAACAAAACAAAAGCATCTTCTGTAGATGTGTAAAAATGTTCTCAGAATGCAACGTTGTGGTTCCAGGAGATACGTCCTCTTTTCACTGAGAACTGAGGAAGTTAAGATTTTAAAAGCAGCTTTTGTCAATGTATCTGAGAGACCATGGCTTATTTATCTAAAACATCTCATTTTCTAAACACAAACTGAGAAACAAGTGACACACCGTACTAGTAAAGCAGAGACGTCTGTTCTGATCGGTATTAAAATTTGGAAGAGAGGAACTTTTCACCCCGTGTCTGACTAAACCCAAAGAGTCACCTATAAATCAGAAATACATAATTGAGTTTGATCTGAAAGCAGACGTCGAAACCGTGAGACCTTAGAGCAGCTGGTGAACACACAAGTTTGTTTATTTTTATATTCATAACCTCTGACGTCTTGTTTAGATGGACCAACATTCTTGTCACTAAGCTATCAGACGTGATATGATGATTGAGTCACGTTAACACAAACAGTGACAACAGAAAACAAGGAACAGCAAGCTGATCTTTGTCCACAGCTACTTCCATATCCACTGTTCGGTGATGTCATTTTCAGAGGGCCTGACTGCAGTGACACACGCCGTGCAGGAAATATAAAAAAATATATATATCTATCCATTCAAATCATTATTTGCACAGCTTTAGATTAAAAAATGTTAGATTGAGTCTAAAGAATACAATGCATCAATCCTTCTAGAAACACCATTCTTCCTGATCCAAGTCTGAATAAATAGGAAAAAATTATCTTTTTACATAATAAACAGGACAAAGTGGTTAGAACTCTGCTGCCATCTGGTGGACAACAATGGATATTGCAAACACATTGTGCCTAGTTTATGCTTCTGCTGAGTGTGGGTGAAGGCTGCTGAAATGATCAACTCTCCAAGGATAGAACTGCTCTATTCCAGAGGTGCTGAGGGCATGTGTGTGTGTGTGTGTGTGTATGTGTGTGTGTGTGTGTGTGTGTGTGTGTGTGTGTGTGTGTGTGTGTGTTGCTTAATTATCCTACTTAGAACAAAACTGGCATATTCACTAATCTTTTGAAGACCGATGGGCTTATTAGGACCAAAACCGAGCCCTAATACAGTGGACCCCCCGTTTTAGGCTTAGGCGTGACGTTTAGAGGTAAGATGTGAATTGAGTTTTTGTTACAGTTAGGTTTAGGAATACACTGGTTAGGGATAAATGCAGTTACTAAAATGAATGGAAGTCCTAATATGGGTAGAAAAATGAACTTGTGTGTGTGAGTGAGTGAGTGAGTGAGTGAGTGAGTGAGTGAGTGAGTAAAGCATAGAAGAGGATGGAACAGTAGGAGCATGGCTTCAGGAACCTTACCCTGAGTCGCACACAGCCTCTTCTGGATCCTCGCATCATTTTGTCTTTGGACTGAAAAGAAAAAGAAGTCAGGTGTAAAGAAAGTCTGTGTAATCTACAGAGCACCAGGAGTAATGTTGTAAATGAATGTGCCCAAAGATACTATGGTGGCAAACTGACAGGTTTAAGTAATAAAATGAAGTTTAAATAGCTGGTATTGGGTATAGGGAGCCTAAGTCACTGTCAGTGTTAATTTTGACAGGAAATTTTAATTTTATTTTAGTCTTAGTCCAATTTTAGTCATTAGATTTATTTTAGTTTTAGTCCCATTTTAGTCGATGAAAATAAGCAATTTTAGTCAACAAAATACATATATTTTTTCTAATGAAGTAATTTCCTACTTTTGTATAGAGCATGGAAAAAGTAGTAGTGTAATTTAATACAGAGGGTCCAAACTCTTAACCACCACTGATCAGATATAGCACACACAGCTAAAAACATAGAATATTTGATTGAAAAAAAAAAAAAACACTTCACATGTTTAACACTTACATGATTAATAAAAAACAAAAAGCACACTGGGAATTACAAAGGTTCTCTTTTTAGCAATTGCACAACAAGCATTTTTCAAACTAGCATGCTGAGGGCATGCATTTTTCCAGAAACTTTCCACGATAAAATGGTTAACACTAGGGCTGCAACAAACGATTATTTGGATAATCGATTAATCGGATGGGGTCTCGACACGATTAATCGATTAATCGGATTACATGGGGAAATTTTTAAAAACTGCTAGGGAAACGTTATTTCTCTCCTTCCTTCACTTTATTTAACACAACATTATTAGAAAACAGTTCAATAGCAGAAAAACAACATGCCATCACCTAAATTGTCTTATAAGGTGTATAGACAGAGACCCTAAGCTACATCTATCTGTGACCTAAAATGCTTGGTCCAAGTTAAACAGCTTAAGGGCAATTCTCATCTGTTTTGTTTGATCTCATCTGTTGACATTTATTTTAAATGTAATTAAACATAGGCTGTGAATTTATCAAAATTGATCACTATTTCCAAAAATGACTGAAAAAATACCAAATAAAACAAAAGTAAATGAATGCCATCCTCCTTGCGATGATGCCCTGGGCAACTGCCATAAAGTCACATCAAGAAATGCTGCTGATCATTCCAATGATCCCAAATAGACTCACATTAGGCCACATGAAAGCAACTGAACCCAAAAATATATTAACCAGTATATAACTGCACTCTCACACAACACGCCTGCAGCAACAGTTAGGACTCCTCCCTCCCTTTTAAAAGCGTTTTTGCTTCTGAGGACATTGTGGTTGTAAAACCACATGCTAGTAGTCTGGCCCCGGTGTGATCAACCAGTTTCTGCGGGAATGTGACGGCGGAACCAGGGCCAGATTAACACTTTGTTGTACCCTGGGCAACAATATTCAAGGGCTCCATCATCACGACCCAAGGATCACCATAATGTGGTCACATACAGAATATTTTACTGTAATATGCAGTAAATATACTCAATACTTGAATGCCTGACAACACGTAACCCGCCCAGAGTAACCTTTGACCCACCTCGTGTGGACTGACCAATGAGGAGAGGGTCTTAACTTGAGGCCCTCTCTTCATTGGTCAGTCTGCATGAGACTGACTCTCAACTGACGTTCAGTCGTAGGCAGCGAAGCGTCTCTGTGCAGTGCAAAAGCCCGGGTGGACAGTTTGTTTAATGTAGGGTGACCATATTTCCATTTCCAAACAAGAGGACAGGGGATCTGTGCCTATGACGTCACACTATGGCAACGCCACACAAACCATGTTGGGACCCATTTTTTGTAAGAACTAAATTAATATCAGATTCTGCCAATTAAAGGGCTCTAAAACAATTCATATGTAAATATTTTGCATATTTAATGCAAAATCTAATTTTTCTGCTTTAGTGTTGCAACAAGGTTTTATTAATAATAAATTACTATACCTTTTGTTTTACTACAGCATCGGTAAGCTTCCTGTGCACAGATTATTAAGGATGCTTGTTTCAACTGTGAGATTAGACGATAGGATCAATGAAAAAATAAGTTGTCACACACTCCATGGAAACTTTCAGAGAATCCACAAATAGTGGCTTTCAAATGGTTTTGTTACTTTTTGCAAGTTTATAAAATAAGCAGATGAGACAGCATGTCTGATAATTTAGTTTTTCATCTGATAATATTAGAGCATGTCAGTAATGTCTGAGGGGCTTTTATAAACACCATATAACTAACACTACTGGAGAGGGCATGAATTACACAGAGGCTTCTGGGGAGCCCAGTTATTGGGGGGGGGGGGGGGGGGGGGGGGGGGGGCATTTTGCCTTGGCCCCCAAAATGTCTTGAAACGGCCCTGGGTGTGTGACTGAGTTTTGAAGGTGATCTGAATTGTATCAGATGTATAAATATGACATGTGTATAACTTATTGTTTTTTACTGGTAAAAACGTGTAGTGGAGATAAATCTAC